TGACCAGCGAGCCGCCACGAGAATGGTTGCCGGCCTCAAATCCGTGGACTACGAAACGCGTCTCGCGATGCTTGATCTCTTTCCCCTGGAGTACCGTCGCCTCCGAGGGGACCTAATTCTTACTTACGCCCTGTTTGAACAAAGCTTGGCAAACAGGCTTTTTACCGTTGACCCAGCAAACACCCGGCGAGGACATAGTAAGAAAATTTTCAAGCTAAGAGCACACACATTCATCAGACAAATTTTTTTCATTTCGGGTAGTAGCTGCGTGGAATGACCTTCCTCCGACGGTTGTCCACGCTCCTTCTAGAACCCAGTTCAAGGCACTATTAGACAATTATTTATGCGAATCCTCGCGCTGGCAAGCATACTGCCCCGCGCTGAGAACATGAAGAGCAGTGCTACACCCTGTTTCACTTGTGCCTTTCAGGTGAACGACAGCCACTGACCGACAAGAACAAAAACGATTCGGGAAACTTGGGCAGAAGCCTCGATCCTGTGTATCAATCCGTGAATCCGTGACTCCGTGATTGGTTCATATTTCGACCAATCAAGCCAGGCATCCACTGGGTCCCCAGCTGGGTGGCGATATATCCCCGGTTCAGCGTGATGTTTGTTTATTTAGCGTGGCTTGCCTGCGGACATTTAGAGCATACGTTGACAGGGTTGCCAGACAAACAGGGATTTCCCTCTTGTGATCCCACTTCATAGCCGTCGCTAGACAACTTGCGCAGACGAATAACGCCTACACAGCACTTAATCTTGGATTGTGCGTGACCTCTTCAACACCAGGAGCATATTACAAAAGCGCATTGGCTCGTCTATGGAAAGTCAGATCTACTGGTAATCATTAAAACCTAGTTACAGGAGAGCCCAAACGATAAAGAAAGAAACCATCCTAGCTACAACAAATTTAGGTGTAAAAGAATGTCCACATGGGAGTGTACATCCTCATGTTAAATCTGGCATTCGCTACTTCCTAGCTGAAAGTTATCATAACGGTAGTGGACTATGTCAAGTCGACTCATCGAAATCCGCTGGGCCTGGTCGTTTCCATCCTGTCGGCGAATACATCCGTGACGGTGCTTTATAACAAGTTGCTGGAAGCTGGCGCACTACCGCAAGAGCGGAAGTACTCAGTTCTCAAACCATTTCCGGAAATTGAAGACAAGAGCCATCCTGAAAATCACCGGCCTACCCGCCTGACCCCCGTCGCCAGTCCTCAAAAAATAGTCAAGTCGATCTGTCCATTCCTCATAGGAGTGGCTACTCGAGTCCTACTCAATATGGGTTTTCTCGTAACTCGATCATGAGTCAGCAATCTACTCACCACCCCCAGATGAAGGCCATGGACGACGGACAACAAGTAGACTTTAGCAAGGCGTTTTATCGAGTGGCTCATCACGAACTAGTCAAAAGTTTGTGCGAGTACGGGGTTGGTAGAACATCCATGCTTTGGTTTCGTTCATTTTTCTTGGGACATGCTGAAAAGCTAAAGCAAACTACCACTACTTCACATTCATGGGCAAGTAGTGTTCTACAAGGAACTGTACTTGGGGCACTCCCTTTTCCCAACCACATTAACGACCTCCCAATCAGACTGAATTTCTGGAAGACAATTCAAGATCTGGATGGCCAGTAGATGTTAAAACTTCACCTACGAAGTTTTTCTGGATGGCATAATAAAGGAAAACTGCCTATCATTCCGGGGAAATCTGGATTCTTGTCTGTAGGAAGGCGCGCATCTCACCGCATTCATCTAAACGGACAGGAGTTGCGTTCGAGCACTCGTACTGTCGAGGCTTGAAAATTAATTCCTAGATACTTGGTTTTGTTGGCGCCAGATAACCGGTAGATATTGCGGCCAAACCCGACACAAGAGAGTACTCAGTACTGATGGATTGACAGGGAGATTTATTCATGGGATGTGTGGAGGGAGAAAAGCGTGTGAAAAAGAAAGAAGGGAGGTGTCAGCGGTAGCCTGTTTCCGCTTATATGCCCTCCTGTATGCAGCAAACAAGGCACAACTGATGGTATCACGCGACGGCCGATGCGGTATGACAGCTTTCAATGTTAGGAATCATGGATTGGGTGGAGGGGCGAGATGACTCAGTCGTTAGAGTGCGAATTTACTGACTGGGAAGTTCATGGTTGAAACCCGACATCTGCGTCTCGACTTTTCTTGTCTACGCTAGGACAACCTGGCAGTGTCCCAGCCCTCTTGCTTCCTTTGGGTGACATGGTAGCTAGGCACCGAAATGGTGTTACAGCTGAGTGATTATTATTTTCATGGTTTGGGTACTGCCACGGCGCCAAAACCTAGACAGAAGGACGATTAGGGTCCTCAACCAAAGTCTTTGCTCAAAAGCCTTACTGCAAGGTAGAGGAATCTGGAGGGAAGCATTAGTGCATCATTTCCCAAAGAAAGATTAGACACATTTGTTCCAAACTCCAACCTGGAGAACCAGGAGACTGTGTCGGTCAGACTTTAAAATATTGACCAGCCTTTTATGGAAAACTGTGGGTGCCGCGTGGACATCCGCTGCCAGTGTAGCTTAATCGGTCACGGAGGCACACGAACCTCTAAACCACGGTACTGTCCAATCTCTTCGTGACGAATCCTCTTTGCCGACTGCAATCCGATTGCTGCAAAGTCAAGAGGACACTGTGCCGCCGCTGAAACATCCTCGTGGAAATCGCCCGCTTATTAGAATACGCTATGATCCAGCCTTCCGTATCTCCATTGGGGATTCAATTCTTCCTTGCTTTCAGCGATAGGCACAGAGTCCCCAAAGATCATTTCAATTATTTTGTGCGACCGGTCCCTATGAACCGCTCTGGGTGGAACCATCAATAATCAAACTGACATAACTATCTCTATTAAAGAACGATTACTTGACTGTTGGATCGAGCACTTTGAACAATAGTTCTGTATACTTTCATACCAGCAGGTGTGTGAAAATATACGGACAGCTCTCCAAAGGGCCTTTGCTGTTCGGGAGCGTTCAGGTCTTTTAGTATGGAGTTCTGGGGAACTTTCGTAAGACATTTAACTATCAGCAGCATATTAAAATGCTTTGGAAAACCCAGATGTTCAGTTATTTTTCGTTTTCGGACCACTTTTGAGTATATAGAGAATGCCCCAGATGTCCATGAGCGTGATCCGGGTCTTTACTTCACATGATTCGTGGCCTGTGAGTGTATATGGGCAGTTCTGTAAAAGCTTGTCCGCGAAAAAGCACCCGCTAAAGATAGTCAACCTCTCCGCCCTGGCCTCAACGAAATAATTAGGCGAACATTGGAGGACTTCTGCTATTCAAATCATTGATTGTGGCAGCCGTGTTGGAGTATGCAGATGAGGTCCTCCCAATATCCAAAAATGACCGGGAAGCCTTTGCGCTACCAGGTTAACTAAGCACCACCGTTTCATCCTTCTGTGTTCATCTACAATATATAAATTCATGCTTTAGAACGTGCAGTCCTCGAGCCTGCCCTTTGTGGTTCCTATGGAAATACGACTGCGGAGGTCTGCACGATTCTCGAAGGCGGCATCCACGCCTACCGTTTCGGGTCACTGTTGGCGTCAGGGTTACATAATCAAGTCTAAGAGGTAGCGTATACCAGAGTGCGCTGCTTTATTTTCGGGAGACCTATGCTTATCCCTTGCTTGACATAAACTTGCAGATAATCAGAAGCGTTTTCGTGTTTTTCCCACCAATGTCCCAAAATAGTTTTTGCTGTTTACTAGCACCAACGAGTTCACAACAAGGTGCTTAGGGATCGCGTCTTTGGTTATGCAGCAGGTACTAGCAGGCACGACACTTGACGAACGGACACAGCTCTCAGTGGATGAAGTAGTTGAAGGCATAAGGGTTCGCATTCATATCACACGTTTGAACAGTCCTCTTCCTTTCCTGGTACAGTTATTCTGGTGAGTCCACACCAAACGGGATGCACTGGACTCGAGTTCTACTCTTATTAGAACTTGTCAGCAGTACTGACCAGGACCTCCTGACGCGTGAGTCAATCGATCGACACAACGAGGATCGGTACTGTTTTGTTCGAGGCATCTGGCACCCCAGTCACATCGCTCAAGTCTGAGCACGATCACTTGCTCAGACAGGATAATTCAGGTGCATTCAAAATGCACTGATGGAGTATTCGGAACACGCTCGCCTCGCCTGTCAGATCTCCATTTCAACCCGGACACGACCAACAGTATATACTCCTTGTGAGTCCCAATAAGGATGAAACCGTAGTCCGGTGCTTCCCCCTTTGGTACGGACCCACCAGATTAATTGAACCAGGACAGTAGAAGGACTGTTCAACCATGTGGTGTGAATTGTACGAATTCCGCAATCATTTTGGTTTGAACTCTGATTATTTTGTTTTTGCTTTGGTCTTTTACTCGCAAGAACATCATCGACAGCATGACATCACTGTTCAACATCGATGCTTCGCTGCCTTAAGAACAGGGACCCAAACTGTTACGAAGGGACCTGTTCTCACTGGAGACGCTTCTAGATACCCGGAATTTCCTATTTCCGTTCAATCGGTTTGTCTACCGATTTTCCATCTGGAATATAAATCGGGTAACACTCTAGACACCTCAAACTCCGAAGCGGATTTTAACTGGCCCGAACGGCACGGGTCTGACGAGTTATCGAATGCACATTGCTTCAGTTACCAACCTGTGCCAGTTACCAACCGCTTTTCTCACCTTGTTCTATTTCGTCTTCAGGTTGGATAGTCTTGGTTGACCGTTCACCTAAAATGAACGCTGTAAGGTTCATAAGAACCGTCAACCGTTTCATTCAGTTCCGTCCTCTTATCGGAAACAACTTCAAGGACCGCTTTTACTCTACTAAGATTAGTTCATTCGAAGAAGCGAAGGCAGCAGTAAACACTCTAAAGAACGACCCGGGTACGGAGGTCAAATTGCAATTATATGCCCTCTTCAAACAAGTCAGTTTTTGTTGTCACTGTCAACTTTATTTCAGGCAACCCTTGGGGATTGCACTGACGATAAACCCGGTGCACTAAATTTCGTCCAGAAGGCAAAATGGCAAGCGTGGTCTGCCCTCAAGTCTATGTCGAAGGTAAGTGCACCGTCGTGTTTCCTCAGTATTTTATGCGGTTTCGGTTCCCAACTTTGCCGTACACCTACACTAATGAAAGATACTGAGAGTATCGCTGCTCCTCTCTTACCGACAAACAGCACCTGATAGTGAAAATTTTATTCACAGTTGCATGCGTCTTTATGTTCCTTGTCACTATCGAACTCGATAGTTACCATACTTTCATGCAACCGTGGTCCCTGTGATAACACCGAGATGAGCAACCATCAATGTTCCGCTGTGTGTTTTGTTTTCACGTCGCTCAATTTTTACATGGACTTCGTCTTAGACGAAACTTTTTGGATACCTTTGAAACGTGAGACCGCCCATTTGTTTCATTACCCTTCCTAGATGTTTAGTTTTCATGACGCTTTTAAGTTCGTAGACGGGAACACATCAGTGAATTGGTCACTTTTTATCTACCAAGACATCGCACGCTTGATTGAGTGCGCATCCGAGGAGCAGTCACTTGTAAGGATCAACTGCCGCGGCCCAGTCTGGACACAACGGACGTTCATTATAAATGATTCAGGAGGGCTTTAGAGAAGTGTAAGGATGCTTAAAGCAGGACTCTAGTCTAAGTGTTCGTGATTGAATTTCAAGATTCGACCTCGCGTGTTATTCTACAGCAGCTGATGTCTAGTCATAGGATTTGGCTAGGGCACGACAATACGATTGTTAGGGAAATCTCGAATGCTTGAGCTTTCCATTGGTTCATAATAAAGAAACTGAACTTTGCAGTGGAGCGACAGTTTACGTGCCCTGGCGACCTCCCGAGTTATACCCATGCACACCTCCTGGAGAGACTGCACCTTACCGTGGTGTGACGGTTTGCGCACCTCATCGATCCATTGAGCTATACTGGGGGAGGTGTCCCCGTGACACTCAGAGTCTCTGCTGTCAGGTTAGTCAATGGTTAGAGGTCCGACAAACAGTTTCCTGGTCCTCCAGGTTGGGGGTCGGAACATGTGGCGGTTGTTCCGTAGAAACAGTAATGCATTTGCATCTCCCGCTAAACACCACTGCCTTGTGGTTAGGCTTTTAAGCCAAAGGCTTTGGCTGAGGACCCCAATCGTCCTCCTATCTAGGTATGGGTGCCCTGACAGTATCCCAGACCACGTACAACCGTGAACTGCACATATACAAATAAACCCATGCCATATCGGCCAGCGCGTGGTGCCACCATCCTTATTTGCTGCATACAGCAGGGCGGGTAAGCGAAAACAGGCTACTGCTGATGCCTCCCTTATTTCTCTTTCACACACCTTTTCTTCCCCCTCTCCCCCCATTAATTACCCTCCTTCTGTACACCCAGCACTTAGGACTGATAACCCCATTCGCCTCGCATCGGTTTTGCTTGCAACATCTGCTTGTCCAATGGCACCGACATCGTCAGGTGTCTTCAGATCAATCTTCAAGCCCCGACACCCAGTCTATCTGGCCGCCTTTAATGGGAGCACTCTGAAGCAAGCGGGACAACAAGTTGCTCGGGCTCTCACATTGGACTCGCTCGCTATTGATGTGTGCTGCATCTCAGAAACAAGAATTCATGATGCAAGCACAGTCATTGAGCTAAACGCCCCATCAGTCTCCGCCCGTTTCCGGCTATGCACCTATGGTGATCCAGAGGCTGCTGTGCTAGGTGTGCGGGGGTTGATGTCATCCAAAGTCAGCGAGCGGACGCATCCTTGCTTGACTGGATACCTGTTGATAGTCGCCTCTGTGCGGTTCGTCTGGCAACGTCTGTGAAGGAGTCTCACAAGCGGGAAGTTGATAGATGTCTGTCTATCATGCCTGCCTACGCCCCAACCGACTCTAGCTCCGACGCCATCAGAGGCAGTTTTTACGACGTCCTGAATACCCTACTGCGGCGAGCTAAAAGCTCAGACGTGGTGGTTGCCGGAGATTCAAATTCACAAGTAAGCAGGCTCAGCGTATCTGAGACTCAATTAGTGGGTCGAAATGGATTGGACTCGGTATGTACAGACAACGCAGGACGATTGCTTCAGCTGTGTGCTGATCGCAGGCTGTTTTTATACAGTACTAACTTCCGAAATAGCGGAAGTCGTCTGGCCGGCCTCCAACCGCAGGTCGGCCGCACATTCAAATCGACCACATTGCCATCAGTTCATCATCATCATCAAAGACAGCAACATCAGTCTTGGAACTGATGCTTCACTGCCGCACCGCCATCACTTACCGATGACGCGAATTAATAACTGACTACCGGTCGTTTCGGAGTACATTTATGAACTCTAACCACGCGCTCGTCCTGACTCGCTTCTCCTTACATATTCCGGGGCCGCATAGGGTGCGGACGAATTGCTTGGCAACTAGGAGACTGGCAGATCCGGATGGTAGACGAATTTACCAGAACCATCTTCTAGATTCCTTTCGGAATGCTCCCTCATCAGATGGGGACTCATACTGGGACGTGATTGCCACATCTTTGCATCGTGCTGGGAATCTTGTTTGTGGCATGGCACCATCAGGCTCTCTCGAGCACTGGATATCAGACCGAACGGTCGCACTGCTTAAATCTCGGAAAGTTATCCCAGCCGGAACATAACCTGATGCGACGAATTATCAGACGTCAAGTGAAGAGGATCGTGCAAGCCGACCGTGAATTGCGGTGGACACAGAAAGCCAAGGAAACGGAAGAGGCCCAGAAAGCCGGTAATATCCGAAGCTTATTCCAGTTGGCACGTGCGACCGGGCCATGGAAACACACGTGAGTGAAACCATCAAAGATCGGAAGGAGGTGACCATCTCGAATAAACAAGGATGCCTCGACCGTTGGGCTGAATTTTTCGGAGGTTTATGACAGCATATGTCCCCTCAAGCGCCACCGACTTCCTGGTCCGGATGACCTCCCACCCGCGTTGTTCAAAGATGGGGGTAGAGTCCTCAGTCAGCGCTTGTCTGATCTGTTTGCCTGCGTTTGGGAAAAGGGATCTGTTCCAGACAACTGGGGAGAGTCGGGATAGTGCCCATTTCCAAAAAAGGAGCTTGTAGTGAGTGTGACAACCACAGGGGGATCAGCTTGACCCGTCGTAACGAGACTGTTGGCGTCACTTGTGCTTCGTCGCCTTATGGTGGCTCGTGTAACACTGATCCGAGAGCAGCAAACGGGATTCCGATCTGGTAGGGGTTGCGTTGACTGAATCTTCGTCAGGTGCTAGAACAACATATAAGCGTACGTATGAGCGACCCACAATCCTAGTTTTCATGGATTTCCAAGGCGCTTCTGACTCGGTTGACCGGTCTGTTCTGCTTGACTTGCTCCCTACCGAGGATTGCCCCGGAAGTTCGTGAACATGATGGTCTCTTTATATTCCCAGACTTCCGAACGTGTGAGAGTGCACGGCGAGCTTTCCAAAAGCTTCCGTACACAAAGTAGTGTCCGTCAAGGTTTCCAACTCTCCCCATTCCTGTTCAACTTTCTGATCGATGAAATTATGAGACGAACGCTAGAAGATCTCCAAAACCCCGGTTTTCAAATAGTCTGTGTCGATCGGGAATATGCAGAAGACATCGTTATCATCTTCAAAGAGAAGGCGCAAGTTTTCTTGGATAAACTGACCAAGGTCATCCCGTCCTTTTGGTATGCACTTTGCACCCACAAAGTGTAAGGTCATGCTCGTGGACATGTAGTCACTAAACACGCCACTTACAATCCAGAGAAAAGCACTCGATATTGTTGAGCGTTTTACGTATCTTGGAAGTTGTATTAGTTGCGACTGTAGTGTGACGGATTAAGTCAGTGTACGAATCTGTAAGGCTGGGGTCGTGCTTGCTAATTTGATACACTCATTGCGTCAAAGTGATGTATCCCTGACTCTCAAGGGACGTGTGTATCCATTCACAGTGCTGGGTGTTTTGTTGTATAGCTGTGAGACTTGGCCTGTCCGGGCAGCGGAACTGAGACGTCTTCAGGTGTTCGACAATCGTTGTCTCGGAACCATGGTCCGTGGGGGTTGGTATCAGCGTGTCCATAATGGGACTTTCATGGATTCCAAGGCGCTTCTGACTCGGTTGACCGGTCTGTTCTGCTTGACTTGCTCCCTACCGAGGATTGCCCCGGAAGTTCGTGAACATGATGGTCTCTTTATATTCCCAGACTTCCGAACGTGTGAGAGTGCACGGCGAGCTTTCCAAAAGCTTCCGTACACAAAGTAGTGTCCGTCAAGGTTTCCAACTCTCCCCATTCCTGTTCAACTTTCTGATCGATGAAATTATGAGACGAACGCTAGAAGATCTCCAAAACCCCGGTTTTCAAATAGTCTGTGTCGATCGGGAATATGCAGAAGACATCGTTATCATCTTCAAAGAGAAGGCGCAAGTTTTCTTGGATAAACTGACCAAGGTCATCCCGTCCTTTTGGTATGCACTTTGCACCCACAAAGTGTAAGGTCATGCTCGTGGACATGTAGTCACTAAACACGCCACTTACAATCCAGAGAAAAGCACTCGATATTGTTGAGCGTTTTACGTATCTTGGAAGTTGTATTAGTTGCGACTGTAGTGTGACGGATTAAGTCAGTGTACGAATCTGTAAGGCTGGGGTCGTGCTTGCTAATTTGATACACTCATTGCGTCAAAGTGATGTATCCCTGACTCTCAAGGGACGTGTGTATCCATCCACAGTGCTGGGTGTTTTGTTGTATAGCTGTGAGACTTGGCCTGTCCGGGCAGCGGAACTGAGACGTCTTCAGGTGTTCGACAATCGTTGTCTCGGAACCATGGTCCGTGGGGGTTGGTATCAGCGTGTCCATAATGGGACAGTTAGAATGCGCGTTTTCGGTTGTGCAACAAGTACTTCCATTGAAGAATGTGTCTAGCACCAGAAGCTCCGTTGGTTGGAACATGTGTTGCATATGCCTAGTCATCGTTTGCTGGAGAGAATGCTGTTTTACACGCCCAATTTAGAGTGGCGGAAGCAGAGAAGTGGCCAACCCTTGACATGGCAGATGTGTATGAAATAAATCACGAAACGTTTGGATGCTGTCGGTGCTACTAGCCTTCCAAGATGGGAACCGCGTGATCCTCACTGCGTCTGGCTGGAGACGCTGCAAGATACGGCTACCAACCGATGTCAGTGGCGTTCTTGTTGTCAGTTTCTATCCAGATTGCCTGAATAAGCGTTTGGAGGTGCAGGCACCTCGGAATGATTGCAGTAGGCCAATACTAAGTTCCTTGCCTTTATTCTTTTCTTCACAACAATGTTTTCAATCAAATCGTGGTTGCACCGCAGCAAAGCATCGGTGTTGAACACTGATATCATGCTGTCGATGATGATCATGATCATGATCATGATCATGATGAGCTTTCCATCTGGAAAACCGTGCATCGAATTCCAGTGGTTCCAACTGTTACAGTTTCGGTCACCGTAGATAAGAAGAATGAGTTAATGAGAGCCACGTGTTATAGGCGATGACCCAATAAGCTTGCTGACTTCGAATGGCTCTGTTTTTGGGGTGTGGCGGGGATGGGCAGTTACGCAGTGAAAGCGATAGCTTTGATACAAGACCATGATTGGCTTGCCTTGTCTCGCAGTTCCCATTCACGAAGACAGCAGTTACCAACGCGACTCACCGTCGTCATGTGGCGAGACGGCTCAGTAGTTAGAGCGTCAATTTACTGGCCGGAAGATCCGTGTTTCGAACTCGACCTCTGCCTCTCGACTTTTCTCGCCTGGGCTTGGGCAACCTGGCAGTATCCCAGCCATCGTGCTTCTTTTTCGTTGTATGGCAGTTAGGCACCGAAATGGTGCTACACTTGAACGATTTTTATCACCATCTTTGTCAGAGACTGCAATATCAGTATGGACGTCTCTGCTTCACCGCCACACAACCACGAAGTTTATCTAATAATTAAACCTTCGAATGAAAACCAAAGGGTGATGAAAGGAGGGCACCTGGTGTAAAAACATTACTTTCCCAGCTTAATATTTGACCGGAACACTCCAAGCTCGCGTTCCTGTCAAAGCGACCACGAAAGGTGCACAACGTGCATTAACACCCAGAACCAGGTAGAAAACACTTGTGTGGCGCCTTGTTTATAAGCTGTACGCGGTGACATTTTGGAAATTCTGATGCTTCCTGGATGCGCCATTGGCTACCAGCATTCGATGGATAACGGGTCGTGGTTAGCTGTTAGATCCAGAGCTCACTTTGACGCTGGAACTGCAGGCGGTTCAATCTTTGGCCATTCGCCTGCGAGATGAGCTTCTTGACCGTAGGAGCGCTTAACTGCGGGCGGTAAAGTGGTATCGATGTGGAATCTTGCGGAACACCTGGTACTGAGTTGTTTACACCTCCATGCGTTCAACCGGACAATCTGGGTAGACTGACAGCACGAACGCTACTAATGTCCATCAGCCGCCACTTTTACAATGCCTGTAGGCAAGCGCAAGAGAAGTCACGGGGACCCTATTTTGGAATGCGGACCGTACCAACAATAAGGAACAACTCTTCGTAACCTTTGTCACACCCCTTTGCCAAGTCACACTGTCGACCTCGCGGTTCGCGCCATTCCGAAGAGGGCAGAGAGAACAACACTGTTCTCAGTAGACGGTGGTTCGGCATGCATAGCACATGGCCGAGCCACCGTAGTTTATGGTGCTTGATGTTCCTGGTAACTGAAGCACCCGTCCCACGATCAAATATCCGTTTTCTAATCACCTCGTTACTAATTCGTACCCGCCATCCAACACCAGCAACGCTTCTCAGGGCTGATTAGTCAAAAACCTGAAGACGCCTCAAATCATCCGTCCACAGATGTCTGGCAACAGTGACGCCTCTACTGAAGCCTGGTGCACGCGATCCCTGATACTCCATGTTATGCAGCTTTAACGCTTTAACGACGCAAGTTTGCAAACTAGACCTAGATATTCGTTCACTAACTTCATCAGACAGTTCCGCCGGAACGGAGATATGTAAAATTCTTCACGACCTCTAGTGATTCTCTTTGAATTGTAAGGGATACTTTCAAAGGCTGCACGCTCTGAAGCATTAATTTCCACTTTGATGATGAAAGACGCATGCCGAAAGATGGCATGACGGTGGTCAGTTCATTCAACAGGCTTTGCATTTCCTCTTCAAAGATGAGAACGATGATGTCTTCGTTCATCAGATCGTCCGGGTTTTAGTGATTTGAGCACCTCTGTTTTGAAGACCTTCCAGCATCCGCCTCATTATTTCACCAATGACGAAGTTGAACAGGAACGGAAAGAGGGGACGTCCTTAGCGGCCATCGTTGTCATTCTATAGAGAAGCTTTTGGGGTGCTCGCTACACACTCACAAGCCCGGAATTATGTTAATATAATTGTAGTAGTAATCGTTCAGTTGTAACGCACTTGGTGTCTAGCTGAAATGCCAACCAAAGGAAGCAAGAGAGCCGAGGTAAGGCCAGGTTGCCCAAAGGAGCTGTCGGGATGCTGGGGCTGGATTCGAACGGTGTGAATGTAAGGACCGGATTATGTTTGCAAACCTTTGGGGCATACCCTGTTGACCCAATGTAGCTGACACCACTGGCCGATTGAGATCCAGTGTTTGGATAAGGTTGGCTTGTTTGTTCCGGCCGCGTGTAGCGCTTTGGATATCCGTTCCCAGTGGCCGTTACCATCCAGCGTTGAACCATTCATCAGGCATCCGAGGAGCCGGTTATAGCAGACTCGTTTGATCTCTCGATCTACTAGCTTTTCAATGGCTAAGCCAGCTGTGTGTGTCTTTTGTAGACCTGGAAATGGCAATGCAATGCAACACCGGTCAAATGCATAGCCGGAGTTCACGCCAGATTCAAGAAGGAATGGCATGCAGTTATCGACCCTCAGCACCAGTAACCGACGGCGATTTGGTCTGTGTGAATTGGGGACTGGTTCGTTGGTGGCCACTTGTTCAAGTGGCTTCCGCTGTTCCGAAAATTCGTACTCCAACAGAGTAGCCAGTGATCTGCACACATCCCAAGCAGACGATCATTGTCCGTGCTCATCGTGTCCAATCCATGATGACCATCCAATCGGATCTGGGCCGCGCTAAATTCACATACCTGAGCATTGATGTCACCGGCAACAATAACGATGTCTGAGCTCCCAGCCTGTTGTGAAAGAGCACTTAGAGCATCATACAAACTGTTTGGCAGATTCAAAGCTACCGTCAGTTCGAGTGTAAGGAGACAATAAACAGGTTGCGGTGGACCGCACTTTCTCGAGATTATTCCACAGGCTTTACCAAACGAACCGCTCAGAGTTAACCATAAAAGAGTATCCAATCAAACAGAGCTTTCGCTGGATTGCTCAATACAGTGTGCACACGGACATACGCAGTTGCAGCCGTCTCCGCATCACCAGAGGTTTGCAGCCGAAAACTGGAAGTGATCGATGGGGCAGTTAGTTCACTCACAATACTTGTGTCCTGTATCCTTGTTTCTGATAGACAGCGCCCAAGTAAAGCGGTATTTGTTGTATGCAATGCCGTCTTATTCTCGCGCTCAGTCGGGACTTGGACTCCATTCATAACAATTTACTTGTCTAAGAATAAGCGTACATAAGTTGGAACTAGAGGCGAATAAGGTTAATACGAAGCGACAATTTGAACACAAAGGACAGTCATGACAACACATCGATCTACATGGAACCTAGCATACAAACAAGAACCACTTGTGGTCCTTCTATTTTCAGTGTGTGAACATTAGAGACAGCTAAGTAGACCGGCTTCTGGGGTTTGAAAACCGACTTCGATGTGCTTAGGGCTGTTACTAAAGTCGGACGTGCAGAAGCCGCAGCTCGGTATGATTCACAGTGAACAAAGTGGCCAGTCCTAGTGCTGTGATCTGTCGAGAGGGTATTCAAATTAGAATGAAGTAGGTTGGGAGACTGAGTACATGAAAATGGAAGAAGGGAAACAACTAGTTTGTCTTGCAAGGGCCTTCATGCTTCGTTGTCAGATCATGGACTGACCACGCCCGGGTGGCCTCCATCCGATTCAAGGCTGGGCGGGGAGGGCTCCACTAGGCAAACGGTCCTCTGGTACTACAACGGCGTAACCTGTGGAGTGTGACCATCTGATACGTCGAAATCCATCTGGCTTAACTCAGCATTGCTGACCTGGTATTCCCACCAGATTTGCTCACTGCCAAGCCGATTGCATGTCTGTGCCACAGATGTCTGAGGTTAGCGATTGCCACCCTGACTTCCCCACCTCGACAGTCCGCCTGGAACTTTGCCTCCACACAGATAGGCGAACTTTACTACCACATCGATCGGTTCACCAACAACCATGACGTTTGGGTTCGATCCCACCAACTATTGTATCAGCACTTTACAATTTATAGGTGCAGCAGAATTATTCAGGTTAATTGAAATGGTTTACATTCCTGAAGGGTCATATCCAGGGAGAGCAATATCAGCAGCGTACTCAAAGTGAGTGAACGAGCGCTCCGAGAGTATTTTGCCACCCTCTGAGATAGGAGTGTGATGATAGTAAGATGTTTCTTCCGAGTTACTTGTATGTTCATATTCATCGAAGCAGCGATACTGCCTTCCCCCAGCGAAGGACAAACTAGAGAAGATTGGCTGTAGGGACCGCACGCAGAGACCGTTCGACGGTTGATCGCGACCGCAGGCGCATCATTCAATGTAGTCGAAATACTTAAAAAACGACTTAAGCCTGACTGTCAGGGGTAGACTGTCCAGTCTGTTGTGCTTTGTGAATCGCTGCTGCATCTGCAAGGTCTTCGAAGGCTCTCTGTGCTTGACCATAGGTGCCTCCGAAGCGTTGAGCGATTCTGGTAGGAACACTAGGTCAGCAGTGCTCAGGTAAGCCAGATGTATTTCAGGAAAGTGCACTCATTCTCAATGGTTCATCTGGTTGAGTAGTGACGAGTAGGACTACTGACGATTTACTTAAGTCTGGCTTTCTGATGGAACGCCGCCGTTCCTGATTTATTCTCAGTCAGTTGTTTTGTAAATTAAACGGTTTCGAACCATACATTGGTAGCTTATTTTATTAAAGTATCACACTGTTACTGGTCCAATAAGTGGATCCCTGTTGCTCTCCATTATGTATGTTTTGTCTGAAAGATCCCACTGGTTCGCCTGATTCCCGAAGTGTACGGCCTGCGTTTTCAGCCCCGGTTTGCAACCAAATGGATGTTCGATGATATTGTGCCTAATTTGTAGCTCTCCCTCTTCCTCTATCTTCCACTTTTCTGTTTCTTCGATCTTACAGGAAGAAGCCGCGTCCAAGTATATTTCCATAATCTCGGAGCTGGTGGACAAAGAGAAACCAAACGTGGAGCCCACTACCACCCATCAGGCGCAAGCTCCTGGGCTTGAGAGTACGGTCAGCGAAAACGGAATTCTACAAATCTGTCTCAATCGACCGGAGAAGAAGAATGCAATTACTAGAGAGGTATTAAAAGCCGACAAATGTACAGGTTTCTTGTACATACTGTTTTTTGCACTATTTTCCATGACTGGACACCGTTTAGTTCCGGTCAGAACCTCAATTAAGCGTTGCATAGCACCAGTCATAATAACGCTTTGCCTACTGACTGACTTCTTCCAGTACCCGCAAGCGTTGGGATTTTTTACACTAGGCTCAAATAACAAAACAAAGCATGGGTATCTCGCGGCAATTCGAACTTGTTCTACGCATGAATGTGGGGATTCCTGATCAATGGAAGAAGTTCCCCGCTGTGAATTTCTTGTTAGGCAGTTTGTCACGAAAAAAACTTCGAAAATCTGTAGAAGTACCAATGCGTTTCTAGGAAATATCGTAAAAAGTGATCGCAAAGTTCTCGCCGATGAGAGAGTTCTCTCCAAAAGACCACCCCCAGCAAGGCTCTCTTTTGCTATCTTGTGGATACAACACAACTCACCTACTGTCACTCCTGGTGCCACCAGCCTTACTGAGCCTACCCATAATAATCCGACAGTGGATGAATACCACCCTAATGCTATTGGGCTTGGTGTCCTGTGATCATATTCATGCAGCAGACTCCAGGAGCCACAGGCAATCGGATCCGGTATCCTGAAACGTCGTTTATTATCCGTCGACCTTCTCAGCAGCAACCCTGCAGGTGTGTAGGCTATGTCGTGCACCCTGTTCACCATTGATTGAACGAGAGACAGTTTTTCATTTGTTTCGCAAACCTGGCCTTCGGAATCATCCATATTCATACCTCATCCAGTCGCTATCGCGCCACCAAAAGTCCGTATTACCGATCAGAAAACTCACTTTTCAAAGTATTAAATGCGGGTGATGGAACTTGGCGACAAGCAGCAAGACTGTGAGATTACACTGGGCCCCAGTAGCAGCCTGTAGTGAAATCTGACCCCCTCTCTTGCAAGTCATCATGCAGAAAGGTGGACTAAATCCTCAGTTCTATGTGACTTCTGAATGACTTCTTAGTCCCGTAACTAAGGATATCCTTGTGTTCTGCTTTTTTATGATTCCTTTCGAACAGTGAAGCCAATCGAACATAACTGTCCATTCCTTACTGAAGTACGCGTCGTACAACTCTGATCGTAGTATTAAAATGAGTCCCTTTTCATATTGGTTTAAGCTGTTTGATTGGCTGTCCTCTGGTTTATCGTCACGCAGAAGTTACCAATAATGATAAACTTCTCAGCTCTCAATCCAATGGTATTTGGGTTGGTTTTCATCTCGTAACCATGTTTACTGATGAGTCGGGTTTCATGAAAAATTGGATGAGACTAGCCCGACAGGCATTTTCGAACGCTTGACTTTCCGGAGTGACCGATCGTTAAATCAAAGCCTACCTTGTAACCGATCTGAAGGTTAAGTTATGTACTCATACCGAGGATGATCAAGCAAGACTTAGCGTTCATGAACCAGATCGAGCTTCGCCTAGAAGGATGTCATTCGACGGAATGATCCATTCTATGTTTACCGGTGCTGTTCCCGGGTGCTACAACTGCTACACTTGTCACCTACAGATATAACTCAAGAACTTTGTGGGAAGTCTTGCGGCCTCCTCATAGCTCAACGTTGATGGTTCTTCCTGAGGTTAAAAACAACCTGGATGTGATGCGTGGTCCTTTCGAGATGAAATCACGTCCCAGAATGAGCTAAATGCCGTTTGTTACTTGGTGTTTGAAGAATCGCTAGATACACTTATGTATAGATGTATGACATACTGTTATATCTTATTGATTCGTCAATCTGTCGTATCTGACGCTGACCGCGCTCCAGTGCCTAGTGCCGGAAAAAGACTTACCGAAGAGAACACAACAGCTTTATTCCGAATAAGCGAGCGCGAGAGCGTGAGTGTGAAAATACAACGGCATCAAGCTTTTTTATTGGAGGGATACTGTTTCAACTTGGTCCAACGCTGACTGACTGTCTGGCGGTGATGCGCTGCATGTTGAGGGGGCGCTGTCTGTCTGGTCAGCTTCTAGTGGAGCTGAGGGTCTCAGTACATTTTAGGGCATTTAGTGATTACTTTCAGGAACCAGATCTTCCTAATACATAATTAGGCTATTCTTTGGTAGTAAGATCGGTGTTCCTGTTCATTTGACTGAACACATCGTGTTACAATCTTGGAACTTTCACTGTGAGACGCTTTTAATGATGCTTGATTTTAGCAGAAGCATTTTTTCTGAAACGGCAACTGAATGCAGATTTTCTCCCTAAGAACTTAAGCAATATCCAGGCGGGTATCCCGATGCATTTCGAGCCTCAGAAATAGTTTATGTGACTTCCCAGAATTTGATCTCGTTATATACTGTATTAATCTTGTGCTTTGTTCTTGTTAACTGATACCTGAGTTATTGGTTTGGTCACAAGGGATGGTTGATAAGTCCGTTTATCAGCTGACAACCCCACTCATGAGGAGTGGCTTCTTTTTTAATTGCAGTCTTCACAATCTGTTCTCTACCTCGGACATGAGTTTCTTCATCTCTTTAGATGTATGAACGCTGGACGGAATTACTGAATGACGCGGCAGTCAACCCGGACATCAAAGTCGTTGCTGTTACTGGTGAGCACTAGTCCTGATTTAAATGTCTGCTCTCCATTCGGTCAACTGTCATAATTTACTTTTATTAGGCTTGCTCAATTGTCAATCAGAAGACTCATCGTGATGGTAGCCCTTTTCGCTGGAGCTAAAATCAGTATCAAGTTTGGTTGTAGAATTGAATCAGCAGTACGAAGCACAATAAGTCCTCGTGTAGATCGGCAATCTTCAGACTGTCCAACGATCTATTTCGTCTGAGTCTACTTTGGACGACTTCGCGTATTGTCATGCTCGGCTCAAGGTTAAACTTATGTAAACAGTAGATACAACGGTTAGTTTGTCATCCTCATTGTTCATATACGACGAATATGGTCTGGCAGGAATTTTCCGATCTATCATAGTGGCAAATTTCACGAGTTGAATTCGTTCTGCCGAGATATTCGATGTACTTTTCTGGACTTAGTTCTAGTTCTAGTTAGTGGTAACCCTTTTTCCCAAAAGCAGTTGTGAGTGGTGCTTTTTCTCACACAGATGCTATCGCCTCGTGAATCCACCGCAGCTTCAAACTCTCGTTGGTCTGTGTTCAACCATATCAGCAACAGCAGCGTTATCGTCAACAACAGTACACCCTTAGGTGTCACTTGCGCTCAAGTGCCACACAAATCATGAAAGTGTTCAAAGGTTGTTGTCAGCGTAGCTACTATTGACCACTATTCAGTCGACTGATAGGCTAAGAAGCTGATTTCTGTTTACTTGGTTTCAAGACTCCTCGGGGGGGGGGGGGGGGGTGAACCCAGCCCTCGTGCTTCCTCCGGGTGGCATGGCAGTTAGGCACCGGCAGCTGAATGATTTTTTACCACAAAAACGCAATGTGATGATACATTTCTCCCCTCTTCAAAAATAACTTACAGGCACTTATTGGAGATGATCTTTTCTTGAAGGAACTATCAGCTGAAGTCGCTGTTATCCACTAGGAGATAACACTAGCGAGAAAATCTGAAATGTCAACATTGCCATCAGCTGTAAAAACCTCGTACTTGCCGTACAGTTGTTCCATCTGCCACATTTTCGTTCGCCGATGATTTTTGGAAGTGGGATATGCACTGGAAGCGGTAACTTATATAATAAATTCGTAAGTACAGGGGTATCAATGGACTTTTGTTGTAGCGTGGGTGGCCGTCTATGGATTACGCCTGCACCGAGCCTGCCAGACCACGCGATAAGGAGAAGACAGGGAACTCGGGACACGGCTGTATTGTCAAGACAAAACGTACAGGGCTTCTGCACCTATATATAGGATGACTAAATGGCCAAATGTGATCGTTCACTTGTTTCGTTCTGCGCAACCAATGGCTGTGTTGCGGTCGATTTCAGCCCCACTCCACTGGTCATCTGTTGCTAAGCCGTGTTTGGTGTACTTGCCAACGCACCTGCTCTCCGGACGTGTGGTATCGATGGTGAACTTGGTGATGCGTCACTCTCTGCACATGTACTTTTTCCATGTCTCGGCCCGTCCTGACAACTTTCCATTAGCGAGATCGAGAGAGGGCTATGCATTGACGACAACAGCTTAGATGCATGAGCGCCACTGGCATGCGTAGGTCATCTGACTCTCCTAACCATAAATGCCTCCCAATTCCGAGGATTGGCAACTATCAAGAGAATTTTCACTGCACAACTATGTCGTCCTATGTAGGTTTGTGAGGTTTAATCCCTCCCTCTTTCTCGTTAAACGGCACTCTAAAATAGTTCCTTAGTTGATCCCGTCAAATTTAATTTGGTTTTCACTGATTAAGGGGTAGCACTATTGAGCGCTTATTTCAGACATTTAACTGTCGTTCCCTCGACGTCGACCATTATACTGTTCTCGACCCCAATGAGGAATGGGCAAAAATGTAAGACGAAAACTGGAATCACCACAGCCTGCCCCTCTCCAGCGACAATCAAGTCTTAGTGATTAGCGAATATACACTCATCTGCAAACTAATTTGGTCCCTTCGAGAGACTCACGTGGAACCCAGCTGAATCTCTCGTTTATGATGTTCTCAGGCAACTGAATGTGCTGTACCAGGCCGCCTCATGTTTCAGTCGTTACGATATTTGAAATATCGCGATACATGTATATTTGTAATGTACTACTCATAAGGTTGCTGAAAATCCATCGGCAGCCCACGACCGGTTTCGCTCTTCTTGGGGCTCATCAGGTAGGCGCAGTCCCCGGGTTTCCGTCAAACTTATGTCCTACTTGAAACCAAATTGCACAAAATTAGCCAGTATACACTCATTGGTAAACTAATTTGGTTCCTTCGAGAGACTCACGTGAAACCCAGCTGAATCTCTCGTTTATGATGTTCTCAGGCAACTGAATGTGCTGTACCAGGCCGCCTCATGTTTCAGTCGTTACGATATTTGAAATATCGCGATACATGTATATTTGTAATGTACTACTCATAAGGTTGCTGAAAATCCATCGGCAGCCCACGACCGGTTTCGCTCTTCTTGGGGCTCATCAGGTAGGCGCAGTCCCCGGGTTTCCGTCAAACTTATGTCCTACTTGAAACCAAATTGCACAAAATTAGCCAGTATACACTCATTGGTAAACTAATTTGGTTCCTTCGAGAGACTCACGTGAAACCCAGCTGAATCTCTCGTTTATGATGTTCTCAGGCAACTCAATGTGCTGCACCAGGCCGCCTCTTGTTTCAGTCGCCACGGTATTTGAAATATCGCGATACTGCGCCTACCTGATGAGCCCCAAGAAGGGCGAAACCGGTCGTGGGCTGTCGATGGATTTTCAGCAACCTTATGGGTAGTACATTACAAGTCTTAGTGATCTTAGTTGGTCTGAGCGATCCTTTACTAAATGGCTTATGAAGTAGTGTATTTGCCTGATTCTGGTCGAAACCGATAAAGCTCATTTGTCTCAGCATAACCAGTTCAACTGATCCCCAACTTACATCAAGTACTAGAAGTACACGTTGTATTGCGAAGCATTTTAATTTATGGGCAAACCCCAGCTACAGGTCCTGTCAGTGGATATCTCCGTTTGGCAACCCTTTCTGACTAGTCCGGCTCGCTGGCGTACATTCTGGCTTTCTCCCATACAGTCCAAAATTTTTTTTTGAAATGACATTGATATCACTGCTGAAGCCACCGATGTTTGTTTCTCNTGTACCAGGCCGCCTCATGTTTCAGTCGTTACGATATTTGAAATATCGCGATACATGTATATTTGTAATGTACTACTCATAAGGTTGCTGAAAATCCATCGGCAGCCCACGACCGGTTTCGCTCTTCTTGGGGCTCATCAGGTAGGCGCAGTCCCCGGGTTTCCGTCAAACTTATGTCCTACTTGAAACCAAATTGCACAAAATTAGCCAGTATACACTCATTGGTAAACTAATTTGGTTCCTTCGAGAGACTCACGTGAAACCCAGCTGAATCTCTCGTTTATGATGTTCTCAGGCAACTCAATGTGCTGCACCAGGCCGCCTCTTGTTTCAGTCGCCACGGTATTTGAAATATCGCGATACTGCGCCTACCTGATGAGCCCCAAGAAGGGCGAAACCGGTCGTGGGCTGTCGATGGATTTTCAGCAACCTTATGGGTAGTACATTACAAGTCTTAGTGATCTTAGTTGGTCTGAGCGATCCTTTACTAAATGGCTTATGAAGTAGTGTATTTGCCTGATTCTGGTCGAAACCGATAAAGCTCATTTGTCTCAGCATAACCAGTTCAACTGATCCCCAACTTACATCAAGTACTAGAAGTACACGTTGTATTGCGAAGCATTTTAATTTATGGGCAAACCCCAGCTACAGGTCCTGTCAGTGGATATCTCCGTTTGGCAACCCTTTCTGACTAGTCCGGCTCGCTGGCGTACATTCTGGCTTTCTCCCATACAGTCCAAAATTTTTTTTTGAAATGACATTGATATCACTGCTGAAGCCACCGATGTTTCTCACTACTGCGAATGTTTCTTTGTCGCTAGTGTAAAAAGTCGAAACAAATAAAGAAGCCACTAAGTAGTATGACAGGACACACTGGTCTTGTTTTATTCGCTATCATTTTTTGCCCGGACGTGTTCACTCCCAAGCATACCTCTTCAAAGAACAATTCTTGGGCTTGGGGTCCTTTGCACCTCTATTTTTACCAGACTGTTTGATTTTTTCCTTGCTGCCCGTCATATTAGGCGGTTTGTCGTCTCGGTAACACAACCGATTCCCTAGTACACGGTAAGGTAGATATGTCTTGTTCATATTATATAATCCGATTGATTGTCTGATATGAACCTTAAGCTCTAAACTTCCTCGTCTGTTTTCCGCGCACTTCATCCGCTCCCAGCTTGTAGACCTCTCTTTTTGGTAGGCCGGGGAGTTGTATCGATGCCAGTAAAGATGTCGGCATCTAATAGTCAGTGACGACTGCTTTCGCATGCCCCGATAGATTCCGTCCAATTTGCAATCACAGTTCAGTGCTTTTCTGTGTAATTCTTAAAATGCTGGTGTAGAAATCAGGAGGATTTTATTTCTATTACATGGACAGTCTCTTCATCCGGTTAATTATACTGCCAGAGAGTTAATCCTTCAGCCGGTTATGAGAAGCCTGTTTTTTTGAAAACCTCATGCCAGTCTAACCGGATTGTTTTTCATTCCTCTATTTCCTGATTGGCAGGTAAAGGAGACTACTTTTCCAGTGGAAACGACTTGCGAGCGACTGTCAAACCGATCCAGGAAGGACATTCTGTGGTAGAGGTTGCTAGGGCGGGTCGGGATCTTTTGAACCGCTTTGTGAACGCATACATCAATTTTCCAAAACCGCTTGTTGGCCTCGTGAATGGACCTGCCATTGGAATTTCAGTTTCAACCCTCGGTCTCTATGACTACGTTCTTGCTTCTGACAACGTGAGTCACCAAGGGCAATATTGCATGAATTTACTGATACTCTGTTCAAGCTATTACTTTTCTTGTTTTTTTTTCAATTCCGCTTTTTTCATCTTGGGTTCCCTGTTAGTAACCACTCAACGCAAAAGCCACGTCATATATCTACAAGTCCTTCAACACTGTTCGGTAATCACACATCGCTTTGGGAGGGGCGTACTTTATTTGTAGACTACTACAAATGCGCCTAAGAAGTGTCGTGCAGCTGATCCTTCAGATAATGCTCACCTGTGACTTCCCATGGGGCAAAGCTTTCTGTTCTGATAGACCAAAACGGCCGCTCGAAAGCTCCAAATGTTCAAAATTTAAGAGGTGTGTATGAGTAGGTATTCAATACATACGAATAGCTTCTTGTTCTGACAGTCGTTAGTGTTCAGCCACATTTACAAGATTAATGTCATTGTATAAACGTTCAAGCTGTGGACAGACGAGTGTTTCTAAATGCGTAGCCCCTATCGGCCCCCCAAAAAGCTTTCTAAAGTCTGTCCGTTTTGTTACAAAAAATCCGGCTGTCGAACAATGGAACACTCGTTTCTTGTGCTAAACATCTTTGTTCACCTAAGTGAGTCCTGTCGATTTTGACGTTTCCTGCCCCTGAGACTCTTTATGTGCGAGGGTCCTGATATATTAATGACCAAGAGTTCATACTGTTCGCAATAGATGAAAAGGTCTGGTAACCTTAGGTCAGGCCCGAGAAATTCGTATTCTGAATGATTCTACGTCAATGTGTCGACTACATGATCGATCTCATCCTCACTATTTCTGACGTTGTCTCTGTAGTTAGTTATCAGATTCCCTTGTTTTATTGAACACGCTATCCTGTTTGACAAAATTTTAACATTCGGACAGCCTCTCATCAACACCCACAGAAATCGACCGTTGAGCTAAAGCAGCTACACAATCTTTGAACCAGTTCACGGTAGATTTCAGTACTACCTTCCCACAGTTTTTCTAATTGATGGTAATACGTCCAAATATTGGTATCTCGAGTGAGTTTTCTAGCCGTCCGTGTAGTGGTATTTGATGACCAACTATTTGCTGCTAATGTTGCTGACCGAATGTTCTTTACGAACATCTCGCATTTCAACTCTGGTCATCATCATCGACACCGATACACCAGTAATAAATGCTGGCACTGAATAGAACGTCGAGATAGGAAGTCTATTATAGATTGTAAAGAAGGGTCAGAGGCGGAGACTGATCATAAGGGATTCACACCACTCTGCCCCCGATGAAAATCACCCACGGTGACACAAACATTAAGTTGCAGACAAAAACCGCAATTATCGTTGTTGTTTTTGCCGCATTTTCTTCGCAAACGGGGATTGTGCGCTAAACAAATGCCCTCGTTATTTGCTCTTTACACTAGCATATTGAACAATATTTGGGTATTCCGTTACACAATTTTAAGTCGAGTACGGTGTTCAGTGGGTAGACTATTGTGACTAAATTCCTCAAGTTGCTTCCATCAGTGTGAAATCTTTCAAGCGCAATCAGAATAACAGTCAGCGTAACTGGTCTTTGGCATACACTGCTTCACTTTTTATGTTAGATAACTGTATTTTCCGTATCATCGGACCTCCTCGTCCTTCTTTTCAGGCCACCTTCCAAACACCTTTTGTTTCCACCGGACAAACACCTGAGGGATGTTCATCCTACACTTTTCCTCGCTTGATGGGACCCATGATAGTAAGTGCGGTTTTTCTACTGCTCAACACCGTTTCCATCTCGTACGACTACCACAGAAATGTCAGATTACGCACACAGTCCATGTAGAGCACAGGCCCGTAACCAGGTGACGCTATTTATCAACTAAATGCTGTGCTGCGTGTGCCAAAGTAGTTACTTAAGGTAGATGGAGACCGTGACTGATGCCTAACCAGCTGTATGATACTTTGAAAACCCACATGAGCTCACGCTTGACTTAGTCGGGGTGAAACACCACTAGAACCTGACCTCTGGAAAACATGCACTTAAAGTTTTGTTGATTGCGTTATGTCAGAGATTACCAGAATAGTGAGTCTGTGTAAAAACGCGAATGAGAATCGCCTCTATTCCTTTCTCACTTTTGTCCGTATGAAGTAGTTTGAAAACCTTGTTCGCCTTTACAATTTTGTTTACTTGAGTTAACCACGTAAGGAGCACGTAAGTTTCATCCCATTGATTTCATTGTTTTCGTCAGATAATTCCTATAAAAAACGAAAGTCACCAATTCATATCAGTGTCCGTGCTAGTTTATTGCCTCCGGATGTGTGGCACCGTTAAAGTCTGACCGTTCAGTCCCAGAGCACGAATTCGCTGACCGGAAGGTCCGTGGTTCGAACCCGACCTCTGCCTCTATCTAAGCTTGGGCAGCTTGACAGTATCCCAGTCCTTGTGCTTCCTTCTGGTGGCATGGCAGTTGGGCACCGATAGGGTGGTCCCATCGGTCCATCCTATTACCAGGACGCGGAACTACTAACCAGATCAGGCTTTTCGACTGCTTCTGTCCAGGTTTGGGTGACAGTATCTCAGCCCTGGGCCTGCCCGTTGACTGTGTATCAAGAGGATGCCATAGTCGAATGGTTATTATCACAATATCGAGAGGACATAAATTACCAGAAGTCAACGCTAAGTTAATTTGGTCTTTCGCAAACATTGTGTGAGTAGGTAGCATGTAGCTAATGAGTAAGAAATTAAAGAACATTGTATTTCAGGGGCAGATTGGAACGATCAGTTCCTGCCAAGATGAACCAGTGGAAATAGTTGTTTTCACCTCTCACGGCCTTATAGGATAGAATGTTGGTAGTTTTGATTCTCTCTACGTAAGGGCAGAACCCTTCAAGATCTGATAAAACCTTTTTTGGAAAACGTTCTGATAGCCCCTGAGATAAATATCCATCACTCCTACCAGTATATGTGGTAGGCAAGTGGAAATGCAAGTTCAAGTGCACTGAAAAACAAGGTGTGAAACAGGATGACCAAACAAACTCTTTGACCCATTTTGAAGCATACTCAGGTTGTAAAGTCCGTGCGTAAGCCGGCAGTAGAGCTTGCGGTTTAGTGCTTATCTAACCTCCTATTTGCTTCCGTTTGCTGTATAGTCATCTTTGACGTGACGGCTTTTCTCCTCAGGCTTCTAGTCGCAAACGTGGATGGTCAGTAAGGTTTGTGTATCCGTTTGTAATATTTATATTTGTAACGCTATGAAAAGGATTTCGCTCAATTTCGTGTATGTCATTAGAGAGAAACTACTTTTAGTTTCTACTTGGTAAACGGCCTCCTCGACCGTCATCCCAGTCTTCAAAAAAGGCTCAAGAAGATCATGGGAAAACCATCGTGGCATCAGACTTTTGTATCCAAGGTGCTTTGTCTGTCACGAGACAGAATGAAGCTGGGTTTCGGCCTGGCTGAGGATGCACTGACCGTATCTTTACCTTGAGACAAGTTCTTGAACAGCGCTAGTGCTTCAAACGTAGTATGAAAACAGTAAACTGAATCAGGTCAACAACAGCCACCTTCTTCGATGAGACCCCGGGACCAATGTTTAATATGACTGCCAGACATAGCTGAGTGGCGCTCGTGCATCAAACCTATCGCCTTTATACTTAGCTACCCAGTTCCTGAACTACCTGAACATGCCAATGCCGCTTGGCTGTATCTTCCTACATTGTTTCACTTTCCGGTGATCAAAACTGTAACTGCTGGCTCGCGTCTATAGCTGATAAACTAATTGATTGATTGACCTTTTTAGTGGCCTCCCTTTCTCATCCATACTTTCCGACCAATCATTGCAGTGCTATTTACCGATGGATTTAAAGTGGTTTACAGGTTATTGATCAGGTGGCTGTCGATCTGTTCGCCGAGCCTGGCAGTTGGCTTGCAAACGTTTCGCCACCATACGGGGAGACATCATCGGTACTCAGTGATGATTTCTCCTCGTATGGTGACGAAACGTTTGCAAGCCAATTGCCAAGCTCGGCGAACAAATCAACAGCCACCTGATCCACAATCGAGCTTCCAATATTTTAACATATTACCAAAGTAATTTACGTTTGCTAACTTCTTTGTGAAACCCTTAGAGTGGAAAGGGGGTAAAACGGACCGCTGACCTCCCGACGCTAGCTCACATGTGAAGGTATCCAAATCCTCTGCCACTGTTGATAGCCTCGAATCTCTTGCGCACCTTTGGCTATTCTTATCAATGGATTAACAACGGCATGGTATTCTATAGAGGAGAATGTCGGTAGCTCAGGTAGCGTAGATGGTCGTTGGCTTGTTCGCTGAGCTGGGCAATTTGGTTGCATACGTTTCATCACCAATCGAGGTGACATCATCAGTGCGTAGTTGTGCGTAGCGGTGTGAGTTCACACGTAACACTACCGAACGCACAACCACTAACCCACCGCTACGCACAACTACGGACTGATGATGTCACCTCGATTGGTGATGAAACGTTTGCAACCAAATTGCCCAGCTCAGCGAACAAGCCAACGACCAACTGCATGGTATTTTCAGTTCTTCAGCAGCATCCGGTAAAGTTCAAATTGGTCTCTACTTTCTCCGTTACTTCGACGAGTTTCAAGTTAGCCAAACACTTTCGTACGCTATTAAGTAGTTGAGCGTCAGGCGTGAAAGATAGCCACCATCTCTAGTATACTTTTTGTGCGCCAAGGTTTCTGGACTCCACAAATCTCATGTGTGTGACTTTACGCAAGAGACTCGTTAATAAAGTACTTTTGTCCGATTTTAGCGTACGAAGGAAAGTACACCATGGTTATCGGTTTCCCCGTTCTGGTTATCGACAATTTTTCGATTCACAGCTTTGTGAGAGGTGATTATATTGTTTATGTTTCCGGATGTTCGAGCACTCAACGAATGCACTAGATTCCATACAACCGAATGGAGGCAGATATGTATACAATATCATGATAACTTTAGGTTTTTTGGGATCACAGTTAACGGACTGCTGAAATCATGAATAGTGAGCGTGTGTTTGGTTGCGCAATGCACCCAAATTCAGGTCACGATTTGCCATCTTAATGCGGTTGTCTCGTGAGCTACAGCGGCTTCTTTGAGCTAAAAGCTCTTTTTGGCCTTGACAGTGGCCACAAACTATGGTTTTATCTGGTGGTCAAAATTTTGTCCCAGGAAAGTTTGTACGCCCACTTCTGCACTCGGTCCATTGCGCCCAGATGCGTCAAGCAAGACTAGTACCTGTTATTTGTCTTTTACACCACTTAATTATTCTTCTGCCTTCCGTGAAACTTTGGAGACAATAACGTTTCCGTCGAATTCTTTCCTACTAAATTGAGTACACCGAAGAAATTTCACTTCGTGGATCAGATCCCTCACCGCACACGAATCGGTGTGCGGTGCCAAGTGTAGATTGTTTCGGACCTCAAATACAGATCTCACGCGTGTACGTTAACCAGTTTGTAGATCAATTAAGCAGTTCGCCTTTTGAGTAAATGCCGGCGTACTGGTTACCCGGTTGAGTGATCCAGGGCGGCTTCATGAACCGCCAACACCCTTGACGCGAGTATCACATCAGTCTGTTGACGGCAGAATCCGTGTGACCACATCTTGATCCGCCGTGTAATCCCTGCTTGCAGGAAATGCATGAATTCCTTCAGTGTCTGGTCATTGGAACGTCAGACTCATCGTCCTCTTTTGGCAGTAATATCAGATCAACAATGTTGAGGTACCCCGGATGGGTTTTGGCAGCAGTTTACCCATAGATCATAGTGGCTTGGCACACTACTTCCTTTTTTAGAGTACACGCTCTCCTTTATCCAACGATATGCATAGAGGTAATAATCGAAAGGCAATCAATCACCCGATAATCTGCCAAAAACTTATGAAGGACGTGAACAGGAATCTCATGTTGACAACTGCTCTTTCCCTGGATCAGATATCAATAACGGATAGATATGTCCGAGGAACGCAGCTGGCGGCACTACTTCATCAGATAACTAGTACCACTTTACCTGAGTGATCTGACTGAGTCATCGCTGTCAATATGTGGCCCTTGTTATCTCCTGTGAATGTATCTGGGCGTACTTTTGTTGCCTAGTTTTGTAGCTGGAGGACTAATGAGCACGCACAATTTTTACTTGGCTTATTGAATTGTTCAGTCATTTAGTTAGTTTTAGTTAATTATTCATATGCGTTCTTTCTGACTTCTCTACGTTACCAATGACAACAGTATATGTTCGCCTACCGTGCGATGCACATTTAAGAGTACCCGATTTCACCTCTAGGCGCTGTCTTTCGTTGAATATACTTAGTCATATAGAGAATATCGATGACTGATCTAAGATTTGACTAAGCAGTTCCAACGCCGTAGTTTGTCGTACATGCGAACATCACACGACTTCAATGACGGTAGTGCTGCGTTTGTTGTGCTTTTCATTTATGTCTGACAAAGTATGTGAGATTGATATGACACTGTTATTCCCGAACCGTACACATTACCCATCTGGTTGTGGCTGCATCCGGACTTGAGGCAATAGAATTTCTTGTCCTAGGTTTCGTTTGCTTCATCTATCCTATTTGTGCAAGTTATCCCAGTCATCAATCCATCCTAATATATGGTGAATAAAATTTCCGCCCCATTTTATTTTTCAGGCCAACGATATGCTGCTATTCGGTCGAAAATTGAGCGCAACCGAAGCCTGTTCTTACGGATTGGTAACTCGTGTCGTACCACAATCGAGGTTTTCTGAAGAATGTAGCAAATTCCTCAACAGCGTTGTTGAAATGCCAGCCCAGGTAAACATTTCTAACAGCAAGTTTTCCTTGAAATTTGCTTGTGTATCATCATGTATTAGGTACAACAGATAAATTTTTGACGATAGTGCTTTGCAACTCCTCTGCCTATCGTGTAACCCGATAGGCAGTGTGGTTATTTATTTGATTAAGAAACAGCAATCTAGCGTCTTGATTGATTTTATATCTGTGCCTCTCTTATTGGGCCGTTAGTGACACTCAAAGAATGGCAGTTTCCATTCTTCCTGTTATCGGAGCCTAACTGCGGCACCCACATTGTTGATAACCTGGAAGTAGATCTAAGGCCCGGTCTCCGAAACATCTAAAGTTACCCATATCAGGAGATTAGTGTTTGCGCTGTACACCGTTGGTAAAACATGCTACGCCGCACTGTCTTTTTATTTCGCCCATGAGGACCACAGCTCATGCCATGTCTTACAATCCATTTAGGTCCTTGGGTTCACGGCTTCTCCACTTGACTGATCGTGTTTCCACAAAGGAGTCCCTGCCCGCATTATCACTGAGTTGACCTAGTTGGTAGTGTATATCCCAAACCGGCTATTGAACTGTGGATAGCTGCAAATCTAGATGTTGAATGGTGACCGGATGCACTCATTTCAATGTTCGGTTGCTGTTGTTTGATCAGATTTTAGTTGATCCGTCCTTCGTGCTTGACAACTGGTTTGCAAATGTTTCGTCTCCAGTCAAGGAGACATCGACAGTGCGCAGTTGAGTGGGTGCTTCCTCGGTGCCTAGCTGCGTTTATATATATTATTAGAGAGTACCTAATATTATGTCATGTGATCGGCTACTTGGTATATACATTTCTGTAGTATTATTGGCCCGATCGTAATTCGCACTGCGTTGTGGTCTGTAGCCTGGCATTCCATTGGTTGATTGCATGGCTGTTTTAGGGTGTTTGAGGTCCGTTTTCGATTGGTCCGTTCCCGGTTTGTGTTGCTTTGTGGTCTTCCCTCCTTGAATTAGGTCGTTTGTGATCGCGTTTTCTGTTTTCGGTAGTTTCTTTACTTCAGCATGATTGTTTGTTTTAGTTTATCCGCCTCTGCATTCTGTAGTTCGGTAGTTCTTTCGCTTGCAGTGGTCGATAGACTGGATGGATATTCTCGGTAGATACTTTTCAAAAATTACATCAACGCAGCTAGGTACGGTGGAAGCACTCACTCAACTGCGCACTGACGATGTCTCCTCGACTGGGGACGAAACGTTTGAAAACCAGTTGCCAAGTTCGGTGAACAGATCAACTACCATCTGATCAGCCTATAGTAAACACACCCGGACTACCTATATTTCGACAAATTGGCAATGTTTAGTTGGCTTGGGCCCAAATTCCCATCTCTATGGATTAACTTGTGGGGGAATGAACCTGTGATCAACGCCTCCTGTCATGAGGCTATTCGTAAGATGATAGTCATCCAAGATGAGTTAACCTTAACACGTTTCAATGTTTTGTTCATAGCCACACAACTCTCGTTTGAACGGCCGTGTTCCTGTTCTGGCTTGCTGTGCACAGATTGATGCAATGCATACACCCTAGTGCATCTGGATTCCGGGGTGCTACTAATAAGATTTCTACCAGGATAGTGAAATTTCTCTCAGGATATCTTTTGAATAGAACTATGATATCTTGACATGAAAGAGCCAAGGTACTTCCCTTGTGGTATGGAGTAACCGAAAACTTTGTTGGGAAATTGTGGCAATGTGCCAAGTAAACCGAAATTTTGGGTGTGTAATCCGGATGTTTCTGTCTATATTTGCTCTGTATACAGACACTGCTTCTGTCAAAGGAGGCAATCCGCATTCGGGATCGTGAAACGCTGGTGAGCGTCAACGCGTTAGAATGTGACCGATTAATGGAACGGTGGACGTCACCTGAATTTATCCAGGCTGTGACCGCATTCCTTCAACGGAAGAAGTAGTATCTGGTTGCTACCTCATCAACGTTTATTTTTGTTTGGTACGTGAATTCCTCAGTCTTTCACCGAAGCCATTTCAGGCTTTATTATAAGTTTTTCCGCGTAATAACAATAATCCCATTTAGTAATTGAAGCTGACGTTTTCTTCTCCTAACTGTCCTCTTTGAGGCCAAACCGCTTTGCACCGTTTAATCACTCTGTTGTTTTACTGATTCGATGCCCAGTGATTTCATCGCTTTTTGTATCGGTTTTCTGTGAGTCACTGATTTACTATCCCGACTTCCTATGCCTGAAAAGTGTTTTCACAACAGACGTAACACTACGATGCGGTGCGGTCAGTTAACCGGAGAAATGATCACGTGACCAAATGCACCCTTTGTTGCCCCGTGCAATTTTCTGAGTAGTCCTAAATAATCTAGCCTATTCTGCTTCATCCCTCGTCAACGTCCGAGCTGGTCAACTTAAGTGAAGAAGGGCTTTATGCACTCTATGAGGGAGTTTCCGTCGGTCGTTTAACAAATATGATCCCGGGCTACTCGCCATTAGATCAAAACGCAAAAAAAGTCGGTGCAAGCGGTGGAGTATCTCAGATGGTAGGACTTCATGTTAGTGAATGGATGGAGTACTTTGGTCATTCTTTATTCCCGGGTACTAACCAGTTGCTGTCCCTAAGACGTCAGTATGCGCGAATCACACTATTTGGTTTTAAAGGAGACTGAATCACAGCTGATTCTCTTCTTCACGTTATTCTTCAGGTGAATGTGAATGTCAATGGACGATATTCGAGATAGCGCAGACACATCGTCTGGACAAGACACAATACTCATGAGCTTTATAAAGAGGAGTTTTCAGCAACCTCATGAATGGTGTGTGTTCCGCGTCAATGTAGTTGTGTTCTAGCTATCTTCAACACAAACTATAGTCTGAAAAAATTTCTTACTCAACAGTTTTCACAAGTTCACTTAGTGAATATACTCCCGAGCTAGAAGATACATGTAAACAAACCACTTCCTGACATGGCAGTCAGCAGTGACATACACGATTGTGTACCGTAAGTGAGAATCTGTCATCTGTTAAAGCATTTACAGTTTTCCTGAACGAACGGTTCTAGGATAGGTTGCGTAGAACACCTTGGTCTGGTTGCACTAGTTTCCAATAGCTGGATGAAATATTGACCGTGATAAACACATCCCTATCGGGCGTCTTCTCGAGGTTATCACACTGACTTATCTAGAGAATGTCTATTGGTGTTCGATCTGGCGTTTTCGTGTTCTTTGTGATGAACCGATTTGGTACTGCTCTAGGGTCTGGTTATGACTTCTGGTGGTTCTTTGTGGAGATATTGGGATTCTATGGCCTGTTCCGAATTTGAAGTTCTGGATTCTCATGTGGCACACGAAGACGCACAAAGGCCACTTAACACCATTATGAATATGCAGGTTTGTACCACATTTGTACGGTGATTCGAACCGGGATGTTTTGACAAACCTTTTAATGATATCAAGCCGGACAAAGTGCACTTTTAAATGCAGTTCTTTCCATCGCTTAATTAGCACATCCACCCCGGGTTAATGTGACCCCCTAGTTTCGCCACCCTACTTCACTCTCCGTCATAGTATGCTGGAAGTTTGCTACGCAGCGCGACCACTTGTGACCATCTGGCTTAGCAAGCAGCTGCATGTTGCTGCACCACAGTTCGTGTTATCTAGCACTATCAAGGTTTACACGACCTGGAGAGACAGCTTAATCCGATTTAGCGCCTGACTCATCCATGCAGCGCCCCAGCATAAGTGTGTAACTCACATTTCTTTCTGCACAGTATCGTCAAAGCGTGCTCGAAATCTCTTGGCGTAATATAAGATTTCCAAAAACTCTGACGGCCCACTACCGCTTTAGCTATTCTTAGGTATCATCAGGTAGGTATAGCCCCCCGTCTCCATTAACCTTACCTGCAAATTGCATTGGTGCTAGCGAATAGTATTATAAACAGGAGACTCCGTTTACTCTCTTCTCAACACCGAATGAACTCGCAAATGAGTGAATGCTGCCACTTGCGTACAATTTGGTGTTGGAATTAAACAAGCTTGATGGAAGCTCAGCAACTATGCCTGTCTGATGAACATCAAGATGGGCGAAATGTAGAGTAAGCTGGCGAAGGGTAATAAGCAAACCCAACTAGTGTATTGTGCGCAGAAAACATACTCCAATATCTCGAATGTCGTACAAACTGAAATATGAGGCGGTGTTTCTGAAGCACGTTCGGTTGAAACTTTTCAAAGAGGAGAGGTCGGTTCGGGTCTCCCGCTAACACTAGTACAATTTTCGCGCTTCAATTTGTTTACGGGATATGTAAGCACACTGTCACCTGATGTGTGCCGTTCGGCTGGGACAGATAACCATCTGGATTTGGTGTATTCCAACACTATAACATCAAGTCAGTTTCTCCATGAATTTTTTAGTACCAGTCATATTTTCCTGTTATACCCTCTACTTTCCATAATTGACTGAATTTCTCTTAAGTCGTCTTCTGCAAACCAGTAGAAACCGTCGGTGAGAATGTCCCGCAACTTGTGGAGCTGCAACAACTAAGTGGGTAGCTAGGAATTTACGGGACACTTATGTACAAACACACATATCAGATTATCTTTTCATATTCTGACCTGAAGCAGATCATCATCACTATACCCATGGACACTCGTGCTTCACTACCATACAACTACAAAGAATAATTGTTTTTAAAGGCTCAAAATAGTAAAAAGAGTGAATGAAGACTAGACCTGTTACTAGCTTACCGCAGGCAGCGTTCTGTCCAAGCCGCCGGTAACTGGTGGAAGTGTGTTTTATTTTGGTCCGTTGCTGCCTCGTTGCTGGGCGAAATGTGGTCAAATGATTGTTGTTCCCGGGAATCAGTATTGCAAAAGAACAGTCCATAATTAGCATATTACTGTAAAATTTAGCTCTAGTTAAATAATCGAAATCTTACTTGGGGCTTGCGTGGGTTTTGGCAAATGGGGACTTACTATGCGGTTTCAGGCCCTTTAAGGCAAAAGAAGGTATTTTTGTGCAACTATAAGAATATGTAACTTGTCCATTCATAATTAGCTGGCAAAATCCGAAACTCACCATCGAACTCCGTCGTCATCTCCAGTAATTATTATGTCGGCAACTGCAGCAATGTCATTATTAATGGTTCACTGTCTTATCATATTTCATCGACGTCTGCGTTCTAATTTAGTTGTGGGACAAGCGATTTGCGTAACAATGATCCAGCCTTGGAAAAATGCATAACCCATTTCAGCAGACCACACTTCCAAATCAGGGGTGTGAGGCATGTATCAATCTTTCAGGATCCCACGGCATTACACTGGTCAGTGGTGCTCTAATTTTGCCTCTATAGCTGGTTTTGCAGGAAACAAAGATTGCTCCTGGGATCTGCTCATATCGGTCCATTTGTTGGTTCTGGATAAAACCTGACCCAAACCAAATGGAAAGAAGTTCCTTCATGGAGCGGACGGCTTTACTCAATGTCTGGAATACTATACCAGTATGAACTAGTGCACTGTATGGACCTTTTGTGCTGCTTTCGCTTGGTAGTCGTCCGACTCGTCCCCAAACTATTCAAAATAGTATGCCATCTGTCCTGTGTATTATGAACATGAGAGGAAAGGTGTGTACAACAAATCCAGAACCGGGTATGAACTAAACCACAATGGTAGTACAACTATGTATCACAGAGGATAAGTTGGTAGAACAGGCACCACTAGGAGAAGTCATTCAACGAGGGTGACCACTCCAGCGTAGAATAAACTCCTTCACATCTGCGCACTCTGTAGTCCTTGCTACTTTTGCAACATATTGTAATTTGCTCCAGTCTTCACGGTTGGCAACACAGCTCGGTTTCTCAAACTCAACTCCACCGCGAAGCACAGGGTAACCTGTAACTACGCAGGGTAATGCGGAAAGACCGGTGCCAGGAGCTTCCAAAGCAGCCACGTAAACACCTCGCTCATCTTTGGGTAAGGATTGATCAAGTTTTCGGTCCATAGAAACCATTAAAATCCACTCTCGGACAGCTTCGTGTTCTTCATGTGTTGTATACGGCTCTTCAGGCAATGGAACCTCCATCGGAATATCAGTACCCTGAGAAATGAAACCGGAAATTATCAAAAAGAAAGGATCTTAGTTTATTTTCTTCGAGAAAGTATGCTTCGATACCTAGAACATCGTACAAACTGTAACATGAAGCGGCCTTTGTGAAGCATATAACGTTGAAGAATGTCATAATCCAGGGATCCAGATGGGTTTCAGGGGAGTCCCGTGAAGACTAAATTGATATTCAAATGATTATATTTGTCGAATTCGATACAGCTGGGGTTCAGTTGGAACAAGTTTTACGGAGACTCGGTGACTTCACCTACCTAGTGAGCCCCAAGGAGGGCGAAATTGGTCGCGAGCTGTCGAAGAGTTTTCAGCAGCCTAATGTGTAGTGTGATATACCCATTTACTGTGTTGTCATATCTTGAATGTCGTACCAATAGTATCATAAGGTGGCCTGGGATACCACATTCAGTTGCAAAAGGACACCATAAACTAGAGATTCATTTGAGATTTATTTGAGTCTTCCACTAAAACTGAACTGGTGTATAAATTAGTGTATCTCAAATACTCTAGTTCTCAATTAGCGCAGCTGGAACTCATATAAATAGTTCGCGCCAAAAATAAAATTCATGTACCTGAAAGTCCGTACCATCCAGTGTATCTGCAGAGCCTTCGGGATCTTCGATGGCTTCAATCAGATCCAAATATCGATTAAGGAAGACAAACGCCATGCTCTGCCATCCTAGCTCTCGACACTGAATTCCTGCCTCGTAGAAGACTTTATCGGCGGGCAGTATATCCGAGTGACGCAGAAGAGATACACTCAGCTTGGTGGTCAACTGCAATATAAATGATAAGAAAAAACATGGCGCGGAATATTGGACTCAGAATGATCTAGGTGACTACACTGTGCTCCCAGAATTGTGCACAGCACCTATAACTTTCTCCCTGGCTCATTGGACTTCAAAGAATTTCGAGAAATTGCAGAGTTACGGGTGTCTAAAATGCAAACAGATCAATATCTTCATGAGGGTAGTACCACAATCGTTACAGTTTGAGGCTTGTACTGGAAAATCGAAGTGATAGATTCTCCATTTTGTCTTCGCGCAACCTCCAGTTTGTATTCATAAATGTTGTCTGATGCCATATGGCGCACTGAAAACTGAATACAGAGGTGGGAAATCTTGGCTTCTAGTTTGTACAAAGCGCCCGTCGCTAGAATCGAGACTGCTGTAATCTTGCCGCCTATTGTCAAACACGGATAGCTGCGCATTCAACTAAGCATTTGTACCAATCTTAGTGCAAACGTACCTCGGCTACGTCCTGCTGACTTGATGCCAAGGCCGATCGGGTTGCATAATAGTGCGCCACCAGAAGCATCCGTTCGAATATCTGTACCACTTCGCGCTGAATTTCCTGGGTCTGTTGCAAATTTTGTCGAAGGTCAAAAAGCATATTTCGCAGGGCTGCCCAAGTGGGGTATGCATCTGGACCTGTTAGGTTTCGTTGGCTGGTGATATCCTGAAGTAAGAATAGAGCTTGCAATGTATGCTTTAACAAAATAGGCCAATCAATAACTGGTGACTATAAAGGTCTCCTTGTTGGCTTTCCAACTCATCTGCGATCCGTACCACAGTATCAAAGTGTTCGCACATATTTGGATTACTTGTGATGCAGCTATCCCAGCAAAAGCTGGGGAAGAAAACAAGCGAAGATGTCTTCAACAATAATCCTGAACTTCAGTCTTCATTAGTTAAAATATATCCTAATTCTATCAGTGTAATGTTTCTGTTGCTCATTGCTGATTGTAGACCAATTTATGAATGGAAACCTATTTGTCCGGGTGAGTTTTTGGTTACCGAAGTGGCTACGTTTATACATGAGTGTGATGAACCAATGTCCATGTCGTACCTCAGCATTGCGAATACGATGTTCGAGCTGTGCCTGGTTGAGGCTGTGGAGAAATCGATGGTCAAACACAGGGGTGAATTCTCTGTCCCCTGCGCATAGGTGCTACTTTTCTGACCTATGGAGCAGTATGGATTTCAACGCTGCAGTCTGTAGTCTGCTTCTTTACGGGTGTCGGCATTCGCCTGGCCTTCCTGAGTCGAGACATCGTTTCCTCTGCACCCAGTCCACCGGAACCCAATCAAGTGGATGGATTTTTCCACCACATCCACCGGCTGGTATGTAAACATGGGTCTCAAGTTTGACTCTACCCAGTCTTGTGGCATTTAATAATCGCATTCCAAACTCTGTAAAGGAATTATTGAGGTTATTCAAAATGACTTGCATCTCTGAAGGATCTGAACCAAGGGGAGAAACATCGTCTGCTAACTCAATGTCTGTGAGGTAGGCACAGAAGTTCCAAGTAGCCCGTCTATAATATATTTGAAGAGGAATGGTGAGAGAGCACTCGTGGACGTGATGAATTCAGGTAGAAGCTTGCTGCATAACCATATTCAGCTCTCGGAATTCACATATAACGCCTTCATAAGCAGTATGAAATTCAGAACGCTCAGCTTTGATCGCCTGGAACTACCAGGGATTTTGACGATCTACCTAGTAAAAAAAAAGGAGGGCAACCCTCGTTGGACGTTTGAAAGGGTACGCTGTGCGTGAACTTGTCTTATGATAGGGCTATGATCGTTACTACGGCCAAAAACTAGCTTAATCCTCAAGAGTCTGTTTCTTTCGGTAACCAGTTAATCTGCTGGAAATAATGCCAAAGAGCATCTTGGATGTCACAGCTACCATACTGATGCCACTACGGTTTTCACATGAATTTTACGCTCTATTTGGAATTTGGGATCACGGTCAAAGCGCTCCATCTCACGGGTATTGTGTTTCCCTTCTAAGTCTTTCACAACAGGGTTGTCAGACTGTTCAACATGGCTTCATCACCTTTATTGACGAATGAAGACCATCCGGGCTGGGCGACTTGTCGTGTCTGAGGAATGCTATCTCACGATGGATTTTTGTTGCTGATGACGGACTGGTCTCGGTGTTCCATGGAGACTCGTTGGATTATCCCAGAGGTTGTGCTAAGGGAGCCCCGTAAATTGTTTATAAAGCTTCCAACCCACCACGCAAGACAGCAGTTCTGCAGATAATTTGCTGTTCGATCTTCTTCGCAAATTGTTTCGTTGACACCTATGCCCTGACTGATCGATCTAAGTTGACTGAAAAGTACATGTTCCAACCAAAATGATTAGCCTATTCCCTCCATCTAAAGCCATCTGGCTTATCCCAGTATTGTTAATAAGATGTTCCAACAAATGCCTTGGAGACACAAGTGGCCGAACAAAGAAAGTTGCGGCGTGTCATCTTCACGTTGGTACGACATTTATGATCAACAAAGCAATGTGGGTAGCGTTGTCGCAGTATACATTCGGCTCGTGACAGGCATACTGATATCAGGCGGCGCCATAAGTATCGAATTTATAAAAGGCTCCCTGTGCCTCTCAATGCCCGAAGCGATCTCTTCTCCTGCCAGTCCAGTGGAATTACTAAATCTACCCAGAAAACAACAATAAACTAATAGTCCTTCAGTTGCAAAAGCTTTTCAATGTATAGCTACCGTCAAAGCGTAAGGAAGTACAAGGCCTAAGGTTGCTCAGGCCGAAACAGGAGTAACCGAAAAGCCCAAATCGGATTTGATCTACGGCACATAGTTTCGTACCGTAATCGCTGAGCTATCTCAAACTCGAGGCCGAGCAAACAAATTGATTGGTTGGCTTGAAAACATGCGGTTTTGCTTCATCCCACCCAGTCTTATAGCAGGTCTTAGCAAGGTTGGGGTGTAAAGAGCATAATAAACTTTGTGGTGGGATTATTTAAAATGGTTCTCACATGTAAACGATCTGAAACTAGCACAGCAATACTGCCTGCATTTTCGATGACTATGAGTGAACTTAACGAGAACTTTTCGACCTCCAAGGTCTCGTATGCCAGTATAGGAATTTCAAGCGGCCTGACACCAAAGAAGCTAAGGGTCGGGTTATGGGCAATATTTTTACACCATTGGACTCAGCTTACGCTTAGTGGTTAGAGCGCGAATTCGCTGACTGGCAGGTCCGTGGTTCGAATTCGACCTCTGCTTCTCGACTTTTGTCTGGGGTTGGGCAACCTGACAGTATTCCAGCCCTCTTGTTTCCTTTAGGTGGCATGGCAGCTTGGGACTGAAAAAGTGTTACAGCTGAAATGTTTATGTTATTTTTTACCTTAAAGATCACCACATAACTATACATCCCCAAAGTGGGCAGAAAATGCTTTTTAAAGGATGAAATTTTAAAAGAGACGGCTTTGCTCGCCATACACTAGCAATAAACACAAGGGCGATAGAAATCTTCAGGAGGACAAAAATTATCTGGAAGAGTAGTATCATTCAAGCACCTGTCCAAAGTAAAGACGCATTCTCGGTGAGGTCAAAATCCAGACTGACCCCTCAGAATTTGTCTCCCCACGTGACCGATTTATTTTTGCAAAATAGTGGCGAGTTGGCAGTCCTGGCGCTACCAAGTGTGAATCAGGTCGAGTGGCTTCGATAGACAGTCTTGTCAGTTGGGAGCACAGCTTTTTCCATTCTCTTCCAGTCATTCTCTGAATGATTATTATCAGCGTCTACTTGCAGTTCAAGTGGTTTTTCAGCCAGATCAGCACGGCATTTTCGAGCTACTGAAATCCGTTCGAGTTGATGGTATATTTGACCTTGAAGCGTGCTGTGTGATTCTGGGGAAACAGATTGATCACCGAACCCATACAACGGCAAGATCGGAATAAAAATGCGCATCCCAGAATTAATGATTATCGTAGTTTTACTTTATTCACTGACAATTTACGACTATATCTCCAAGATGATTTACCGTTGGTTGCCTCCAAGTAATTATTCGCGTTGAAATTACGTATTGGCCAGCAACAAACGTTGTCCGGCCCTTCCCATTAACTTGCTCAATGAGCATCGAATCCGAGTTCACCACTCAACCTGCGTTTTCTCGCTTCTTCATTCAACCTGAGCGTTTAAAGAATCTCCATAAAAGCCATTTTTATCAGCTTCAGAACAACACTTTCGGACTGCACACTGACAAAAACAAATACCGTTTACCGCGTCGAGCTGCGTTGATCTTAAGCGTACCAAACATCCGTGCGTTGAGCAGACAGCCGTTTATTAGAATCCAATCCCGCAAAAGAAATTCGCTATCCGACTCATCTGGGTGAGTATAGCAAAACTAAGACGCCTGATGTTCAGGTTCGAAGTTTACACTGAAAGCCGATCTCATTTGTAAATGCGACGTATATGATATGTTTGGTTTTTTGCTTGCTATCAGGATATTATTACTAGAACCAGTCAGGTAATTCTCCCTAGGGTTTACTATCCTCCCAGGTGACCTGAATGCCTAGTCGTGGGTTCGGGCCGTACGAATGATAATCACAAAGTAATCTTTGGTCCTTGGGAAAAAATCCACTACTCGTTTCAACCTGCTTCATCATCTACCTGATTCACCAGCTCGGTTCATTCTGTGTTTTAGCCGTGGGGACGGGAAAATGGTCTTACTCAACGCCTTTCATCCGAGTAGGTAACAGTTGTGATCTGTGAGGGCAAAATTACTGTAGTTTATGTTTGTCTAAATCATTAAGACCGCCCCAATTGCAGCTCGGCGCTGAAAGCTCGAATTTCGGTAGGCGGACTGAACACAATCGTGCCTCTGGTTATCTCGACAGGCGTTTACACTCAGCCGAAAAATTCATAGATGTTAAACTGGCATACATGCGTGGCTATGTACAATGTTCTCAAGTGTTTGGAAGCCATGTATACCCAGGTACTTCACTCGCTCAAGAACTGCAACTGATTTTCTTAACTCGACAACCTACAAAATTCATGCATACTGAAGCGTTGGTATTGTGAAGTTTCGGGAATTTTCAAGTGAGATTTCACTCTTTAAGTGAATCCACTCTTTGCTGAAACCTAAGAAGTGCCAAAGTATGCCCTTCATGGTCCTCAACCGATCGTTCCAATCCATCTAGTAGCACTTCTCTACTGTGTAATCGAAGTTGGCTGTGCGTCCGGTCGGTTGAAACAATCGGATCTCATCTAAACACATTCAACTAGTGCAATTTAATGTGACGTTAGCAGACGTTTGATAAAAAATTTTGTTTATTTGACTTTACATCACTTATTGGACCACTATTCCGTTCAACATTCCGGTGTAAATGTCTACCTCATGTTCTTGAGAGTACACGGTAACTTTACAAAGTTACGGTAACCTGGGTTGGATTGAGCAGTTATAGCCTAGTGAGCGCATTTTAAAAGTTGTTCTGTGTGATGAGGTCACATCTGGTCTTCTACGAGGAGACCACACATGCTATAGCACTCAAAACCAGCCTAGGTCTAGTTTGAACTTACAACCCACTTTGTGCATAAGAGCGGGTGGGCAAACGATATGTATCTTCGTCAAGTAGTGTAATCGCACCACATCTTGTCCCGAATAAGAATATGCTCTACACCTGAAAATCGGTTCCTTGGTACGTGGTGGTCAAAGGTTTTTGCACAAACTGCCCCAACGGCTCATTTAGTGGTGACTTTCCCTTAAATTTTAATTGAATTTGCCGAAATACTTTCTGTGGTTAACAAGCAATAGGCAAGTAGAAGAAAGTGGCCCTCCAATTTACCTGAAATATGCGTTTGTATATATTGAAGTTTTGCGTATACGCTGGCGCACCATATTTTTTGTACAGAAGCATCGCATCGTGCACCCGAGAGTCTTTGATCAGACTTGCTGCATAGGCCGCCACATATTTGTGTAGCCGTTGATGTTCAGCTAACCCTTTGCCAGTAGCACCACCAGGTCCAGACGTCGCTGCTTGAACAAGCTTTTCCGCCGCAGCCAAGCATTTTTCCCATCTGCCTTGCTCGGCATACATCTCCAATGCGGACAGTACGTCAACGTCTGCCAGTGTTTCCGCTTGCCCTGAAGACTGTATGAGAAAAATATACATTAACACCTCGAAAAGTGTGGTAGCATCAATCATATCACAGTTATCTAGAGAATCAAACCATTCTGCATTTTCGTTAAACACTACAATATCGGTGGCTAGGTTGAGCATCTCTGGTTTTCGGTGACCATTTTTAGACTGAAAATAAGGTTCAGTTAACAATAGCCATCATTTGTATATCAATTTGGTTTTCATAAGAGACTTAGCCGAATCTCTCGCTTGTGATATTCTTCAACTGAACACGCTGCAAAAAGGCCGCCTTATGTTTCACTTGATGCAATATTCGCCCCAAGAAGAGCACAACCGGTCGTAGGCCGTCGAATGGTTTTCAACCACTTGTGAGTAGTTTGCTTTAAGAAGCTTCAATTAAGAGGGGTTTGGTAAACAATCGGTGGATGGCAATCGCTGAGCTGACACGAGGCGGGGTGCAATTATCAGCGAAATCGCCTGGGTCTAAAAGTACAAAATCCAAGTAGCCTTAGATCCAATTAACCAGCCCACCCCCATCCCCAAACTAATTGTCCCAGCACCCTTGGACGAACACAGGTGAACGAAATCTGTGAACGACCCCAAGAGGAATTTTCCATTAAGGTGTCCCAGACTGAACAGGCAGGGACGAAAAAATCCGGGTTCATCATAAAGACCTGTTCAGTCTGGGACACCTTAATGGAAAATTCCTCTTGGGGTCGTTCACAGATTTCGTTCACCTATGTTCGTCCAAGGGTGCTGGGACAATGGTTTGGAGATGGGAGTGGGGTGGTTAATTGGATCTAACTCTACTTGGATTTTTGTACTTTTAGACCCAGGCGATTTCGCTGATAATTGCACACCGCCTCGTGTCATCTCGGCGATTGTCATCCACCGATTGTTTACCAAACCCCTCTGAAACGGTGACTTCCCAATCGGTCCCAAACACTTTCCAATTGATTGAAAAGGTTCAATTAAGTTTATTCTGATTCCGTCAGATAGTTCGAAGTAACGGGACACAACCATACATGTAGCAGTTTAATACAGCTGTTATGACTAGGGTGGATCGTACAATGCGCGGATAACTCGTCACATCGATGCCGCCTGATCGGAGCCTGAGTTCGGAGTGCAGTGGTTGAGCTTCCTGAATGACCTATTCGTGCGCACTAAGCTGGCCTTCCCAAATGGTTGTGTATCATATCGACCAACGTAGCCCACAGCGCTCCGGATAATCAATTTGCGAGGTGAACTCCCAAGGCTTGGGTTTGAAGAACCTAGTGATGCCGAAACGTGCGGTAGGTGCATCTGTCTAGGATGCATGCGCTAACGGAGATCTCAGGACCAAAGTGTGGCCGAAAAGCTTCGTTTTCATGCTACTAGCTGAATGGAAGCAGGTTCGATGGGCTCCATATTTCTCGTTACTGTGTGGACCGTTTCTAAACACAAAAGCCCATTGATGACTTTCATAAACCCTGTTTAAAGCTGTTGTATCTCTTCACCTGCCCTGACGCTACTGGGTTATAGTCAGAAGACAAGAAGACGACCTGAAGGAACTGTGTATTAACGCAATTACAAACTTCTATATATATGATTCACTTGTCACCGTATTTGACGGTCGATCCGCTGTCAACCAACCAGTGTGTCTCCCACACACCCACACCGGTCCTCGGGCGGTTGTTCCTTTGTCTCGATTGATCGTAGATGGCCGTCTGTGCGCTTGTGTACGGGATGCCTTGGCCATGGAGTGGGTGTGAACATTCTGTGTCCTTATTTGACCTTTCTCCGGCACATGATGAAATCGGACGTCATTCCGACGTGGGGGCATAATCGCACGGCTCTGTTCCACATGATTGTTCCACTGCGCAGTAGGCTGATGCGCAGCCGTATTAAAAGCGAACAAACTCTGTTGTCAACGGTTACCCTGATAAAACATCATTTTAATAATTCTCATAACATGTTCGGAAAATACTAAAAGTTTCTAGCTATCCGAATATATAACTCACTCTTCAAGAATCCCAGTAGATTGCAGTTGGATGCTATATCGACTGGGCCGCTTGGCTACTGGGCAAACACCACATCGAAAGGATTACCAATACTGGCTTTGTCTCGCTTTCTTTGTGGCGTGGATCGTATGGCTTGACGTTGTTTGCGTCATTTGGATGGTACAATTGCTCTGATGTTTCAAAACAGGCTGTACAGATCGAAAGCCATCTGATCGCTTACCTAATCCTCATGTCTCACCTAAATCAAACAGGTCGCACAAGTTGTTCCCTAGCCGAATGCTCTCCTAAGTTGAGTATTCCCTCAGTGGGGACGTCAGTGAACTCATCCAACTTATTGATCAGACAGAAACTGCAGTACATGTAGCTGTTCTGCAGTTTCATCATTGATCTACTCTGAAGCATATTCAGTGGCTCACGACAGTATACTGAAGTTAGGAGGCCAAGTGGGATTCGTTGGCGGAATTGCTTGCTTTTCAGAGTGCATGGAAGCCGAATCCAAATACATTGAACCCGGATTTCCCTCCACAAAGATGCGTTTCCTGCGACTCTCGCCTTCAAGTTCGACTATCCTAGACAATTCCTAAAATTCTGTTGGGAAACACCTACCTCTATTCATCACTCATATGAAAAACAATATTCTCTTAGCGTGCACAGGCTAAATCAGTACAAGTGCGATTGAACTATGCGTACTTTCAGGGCTTCCTTATATTTCCTTTCCACGTAAGCCTCCAGTCGAGGTTCCAGTTCGTGGGCTACCCGACGGGCCTTGTTCCATTCCTCCCCGGCGATAAAAGCTTCGATCGCCTTTTGAACTTTGTCCACACTAAGGAGTAGTTCGCCGGCCAACGCGTGGCGCTGAAATACGGAAGCATGCACTCAGCTTCAGAGTAAAACTCTGGTTAGGATTGTGATGTTCTGAAACATGGTAAGCGAACAAACTCTGTTGTCAACGGTTACCCTGATAAAACATCATTTTAATAATTCTCATAACATGTTCGGAAAATACTAAAAGTTTCTAGCTATCCGAATATATAACTCACTCTTCAAGAATCCCAGTAGATTGCAGTTGGATGCTATATCGACTGGGCCGCTTGGCTACTGGGCAAACACCACATCGAAAGGATTACCAATACTGGCTTTGTCTCGCTTTCTTTGTGGCGTGGATCGTATGGCTTGACGTTGTTTGCGTCATTTGGATGGTACAATTGCTCTGATGTTTCAAAACAGGCTGTACAGATCGAAAGCCATCTGATCGCTTACCTAATCCTCATGTCTCACCTAAATCAAACAGGTCGCACAAGTTGTTCCCTAGCCGAATGCTCTCCTAAGTTGAGTATTCCCTCAGTGGGGACGTCAGTGAACTCATCCAACTTATTGATCAGACAGAAACTGCAGTACATGTAGCTGTTCTGCAGTTTCATCATTGATCTACTCTGAAGCATATTCAGTGGCTCACGACAGTATACTGAAGTTAGGAGGCCAAGTGGGATTCGTTGGCGGAATTGCTTGCTTTTCAGAGTGCATGGAAGCCGAATCCAAATACATTGAACCCGGATTTCCCTCCACAAAGATGCGTTTCCTGCGACTCTCGCCTTCAAGTTCGACTATCCTAGACAATTCCTAAAATTCTGTTGGGAAACACCTACCTCTATTCATCACTCATATGAAAAACAATATTCTCTTAGCGTGCACAGGCTAAATCAGTACAAGTGCGATTGAACTATGCGTACTTTCAGGGCTTCCTTATATTTCCTTTCCACGTAAGCCTCCAGTCGAGGTTCCAGTTCGTGGGCTACCCGACGGGCCTTGTTCCATTCCTCCCCGGCGATAAAAGCTTCGATCGCCTTTTGAACTTTGTCCACACTAAGGAGTAGTTCGCCGGCCAACGCGTGGCGCTGAAATACGGAAGCATGCACTCAGCTTCAGAGTAAAACTCTGGTTAGGATTGTGATGTTCTGAAACATGGTAAACAACTTGGTTAAATAACGAATAAACTTCACATAACACAGAATTTAGGATTCCGACTGTTCGCTAGCTATCTTTAAGTAGTCAAAGTATGCATCCAGCAACTTTGGAACACATGGAAAACATATTGGGCTTGTTTCTGGCTTGCATACGACCATGTCCAGGGAGTAAACCGTCAGTCTGGGTCCGTTGTTGATGCCTTTGTTACACCATGAATACAAGTTCATTCCTTTATGTTTCTTGCTCGCCATATTCAGCATCCTTTCTTGTATTTTTTTATATTTCACGTTCATAACATCTCTAAGATCGTTGTTGGATACCTAATGTGGGATTTTCCGGATTATGAAACATTGTTTTTCTCGCTTTCGTTCAATTTTAGATGACATGCCTCAAAATTCTGGCATTTCTGGTATCTCTGTTGTGGTCTTTATGCAAACTATTGAAGTAACTCGCTGACTATAAGTAACATTTTCTAGTACTGGCTGCCTGATTAGGCGAGCTATGTGATACAATCCCGGAGTACATCTCAGGGAGACAGTTATCTCTAGAGCGACAAGATTTGCTGTTTGTGGCTTCCGTGTAAGTTTCTTGCTTGTATTTTTCTGACTTATATGCTGGTACGACATAAAACACTGCTTTCTGCTTGAAACTATATTGATGCTAATTGATTTTGCTGGTATTACAGTCCAGAAAGATGTTGTTGCAAGCCCGATTGTATTTCCCATCCTTATGCCATTTAATGAGTGGATCTATGCCAGAATTAATTCAGGACTTCACCTATAACTCGAGCATTGCTAGACAAAGATGATCCAATATCGGTCTTAGAGACCTGTATTACATCATTCTACATAGTCTAGACCAGTGCACTCCAAGTGGCTCTTTTCGATCCCAGAGCGCACAGCACCGAGAAATTTTAACCAAGCATAGGTGAAGTCGGACCGTGAACTCAGCTTAACCTGTAGAATCTTCAGCAATTTTTAGTTATTATGGTAGGGACTAGCCGACTCATTGAAAATAAATTATTGGAATGACATTGAATATCCACTTAAAATCGTAAATTTGAGGGAGAAAACTAGTGGATTATCTATGATACCTTTTGGAAGCACAGCTACTACGTTCCGCTAGAGAGTACGAAGTATTAGCTGCTGTCATGTCGTCTAAAACTTAGTGGACACACAAACGGCTGGGAATTAACGGAAACTGAATTTAGTGGGCAAACCAATATCGATCCAAATAGCATTCTGTAAGAAACTGGGTTAAAAACAATTAATTCACCAACTACTCATACCGCCGAAAACAAAAGCTTGTTGTTGTGGTACTATACCTGTTTCACACAAGCCTGATGAGGCATAGAACAGTCTAGCTAGGAGTACGTTTAATTACGTAACTTTCCACAAATAAGTGACATCATAGTGGCTTCACCGTGTCAAGGGTTTTCTTGTCCATTCCTAAAACTGAATGATATGTTTCAAATTTTGGTTGGTCTTACTGGACACCTTCATAGTCTTGTCTGTATCATTCTCGTGTTTCTTAGTCTTGGCAGCTTCAGTGAGCAGTCACTGCATGATCCCCAAAGACATCCATATGATGAGTAACCACGTATTTCTTCATGTGAATTTAAGACGTTGCGAGAGATTTAATTCGCTTTGCGTTTCACTCCACAAACTACAGTTTTCTCATGAAGACATCCTAACATCAACTGAGACATTTTGTGATTCGTATTCACACATCTGGAATCTCCTATTCAAACACCTCCAGCTCATTTTATAGACGACATCTCATGACTGATGTCGGGACAACATTTTCTAGGTCCCTCCAAAATCTGAGTTTTATACGGACAGTTGTCCTAGATTTAGGCATCAGCTCGGAGTGCTACGAATGGCTGCTTCAGAAAGCCCTGGCAGTACGCATTCTTGGTTGTGGATTAGATGGCTGTCGATCTGTTTGCCAAGCCCAGCAACTGAGTTTGAAGCCCTTCTCCACCTTACGAGTATGCATTTTACTCATGAGCTCCGGTAATGGCAGTCGACAGGGACGCTCAATAGGCCACACCCTCAGGAACCGTTCATCTTGTGGTATTATTACTTTCCTTACATTTGTTAGAACACAAGCATCACTTCAAGTCATAGCCCATTGTGAACAGTGAATCATGGAATAATGTCAGTGTTGGGAAGGACCATAGGAACAGAACGCTGAATGCTGAACAGATACTGAAACCCTTTGTTTTCCCCTACTGAGACTGGATTTATAAACCTCAGTATAAAAACGTTCTTGTCTGTAGTTGGGCTAACTTCGCGTCCCATACAAAAGCTATGAAGATCACTGTAAAACAAACCTTGATGTTCACAAGTCGGGAAGCCACAAGTTCCGCCACTTTAGATGCACTATCCGAAGGAAGGAATTTCACCGCCAAATTAGCTGCATGAAGCCATGCGTGCTGACATACACTAACAGGAATGCCCGAGCACTCCTCACCCTCATCGCCTTCCAAATTTGGTTGCAGTTTCAAGTAATATTCGACTGCTCGAAGGTATTCGCCCCTCGCTTCCAGCTCCCTTGCCTGTAGAAAATTAACATTNCCTTCCAAATTGCAGTTTCAAGTAATATTCGACTGCTCGAAGGTATTCGCCCCTCGCTTCCAGCTCCCTTGCCTGTAGAAAATTAACATTGGTGGTAGCTGAAGGCTCTGACCCGTCAAGACCTTTCGAACTGAACGTGCTCCTTGTGCTCGACGGTCCGCCCGTCCCAAGTAATCGACCATCTCTGAGAGCTTCTCCGTCTCCAAACGAGTTTGTGCGAAGACTTTCCTCCTTGAACTCTTCCTAAGCATTCAACGAATCGGAAGAAAGTTACCAAAGTCTTGTATTGATAGCAAATTACTGCAAGGTAAAACTTTTCCACTGAATCCCGCAAAACCATCCGATGTTAATTAACTCTCTTGTACATCACCTTCCTTAGTTAGCACTGCTTGGTTCTGAATCCGAGTGATAATCACCCGTATGTCTACCGAGTGCTGACATACTGAATGGCCATTACCTTTCCTCAAGGCTGTAGACTACTTGTAACCCGGTACACTGTTCTGTTAATGTCAACGTATAAACACTGTGTCCAAACACTACATACCAAAATACGTTATCTATGAGAGAAACCGAAAATAAATGACGGGTACTACAGCACCTTTGTAAGATTGCCTACAGATAAAAAACCGGGGTTGGTTTATAAAATCGATGTAATGACCCATACTTATTTCCAAGTTTCAGAAAAGGAATAATCACCATACGGTCTGCTTTCAGAATCCGAGCCATATCTACTAAACAGATAAAGTCTGTCTCAGGTAACGTCAAGAAGAAAACTGACCCGAAGTTCATGCACTCTGTTGGGTAGGTAGGCTTCTGCTACTCTCAAAGCCTCCTCCCACATCCCGGCTTCCCGGTATGCACGAACCGCCATATCTGGACGCTGTGCACGAAGAAGTAATGCCTCTGCACGCGCAAACTCCTTTTCTCCAAAAGCCAGTCTGGCTTGTCCCAGGAGGACATCGTTCACGCTGTCTGGATCGTGTTCGGCAGCAACACGGGCCGCGGAGTCCCAATCTTGGTTGTGCACGTACATTAACACAGCTTCGCGAGGCTTACCAGCCTGCAAAATAATCAACGCATACAGGAAAAGCAGTTAGTTGGTCTACTAGAGTTTCCTGCATATATGTCTTTCGTGCAAATAAAAAGAAGCGCAAGGTTTGAGATGGTTCTAGCTTGCCCAAGTATATGGGGGATGAACAAACACGACGGGCTTCCGTTCGAAAAACGACCTTCCTATCGGTTGCTTCGCAATTTATTCTTGTAAGACGTTTTTGTTTCCGTTTTAAGACCTACGATGATAAGTGAAACCATAAAGTATTGTCGTGACATTCAAAGAAAGCATACTGGTAATCGAAATTCTCACTAGAGGTAAAGTGAACCAGCACATGCTTCGACATCCCGTAGATTGGCCAATGCAACTTACGCCAGTTCAGCTTCCGAGCATACTACGTTGGAAGCGGTAATTTCAAGTTGGAAGCCATATTCTGGCCAGTGTTGGCAAAATTGTCTTAAGCAGCTGTACCTTTACTTAAAAAGGAAGTCCCGTTTTTTAACTTCCAAACAATAGGAAGACGAGATAATACGTTCTAAGCAATAGTCCCGTGTTCGTTTTTTCTCGACCACATTTTAATGCTTTCGGGAGTGTCTAACTTCCTCCTAAGTTGGGCAGAATAAACTGAACATATCAGGTAAAAAATAAGGATACCCATCTTCAAATTAGTTTCAAACAAAATATATGTGTGTCAAGTAACTTGGTGAAAAAACGTTGTCCGGAAAAGAAAGTCTGGTACCCAACAGACCGCGTATATATAGTGTCCGCGCGTTTCGACCTCACTGAAGGATGTATTATATTCTCACTATTTTCTCATACATTTCCTAGAAAAAACCAACTTTCTGAGAAGGAAAAACTGACCTTGACAAACTCTGCTTCCGCCTCTGGGAACTTTCCCTCATCCTCCAAAAACATGGCGAATTTGTTATGGACATCTTTTGTTCTTTCGGGACAAGCCAAGCGGATCAGATCGAAGGCGAAGTCAAACGCACAATGTTCCGTTGCGTAATCGATTGCTGTGTCCAATAATCCTATTCGAGTGAGCAGACGCACCGCTGATTCGCCACCCAAATGTTTAGCCCATAGGTAGGCGACCTGTTTGCGTACCTCAGGTTGATGTGTGCAGTTGGAAGCTACTCGGTAGGCCTCTTCCCACTGGTCTCGTGTACGATACATATTGACGGCGGATTTCCAGTCCTTGGCCTTGTAGTAGTGACAGTAAAATCCACATAAAAAATCATGCACGGAAATGGTTAATACGACCAGCAAAATGACATGGGTGTGCCTACTCCCTTCATTGATGGCACTTTCTACTCAAGTGATAGCACTCAGTGTATCACTGCAGATAATCCCTGACAAGTGATACAAAAAACAAGAGCTATTTGGTACTCCTTAAATCTCGACCAACATGCTGTATTTTGTAACGCAAGCCCTTTCTAGCCAGCTCAACAGCTATCAGCAAGCTGAAATAAACACTTAGTCTTTTTGTTGAGGATCAGTGCGTTGGAAATAGAAAATGGTCAAACCAGCTACAAGGATACGAATAAATATATGCGGATTTTTGGATGTGTGCTTACTGGAGTCGGAGAGTATGCTTGAGAACGTTGACTTCCTCAAACCTTTGTGCACACGAGGTTTTCGCTCTTGACAACTACCGCCTTGTAACTACTGTTTTCGTGCATCAAAACTGGAAAACACCACATTTGGGGAAATTTTCCATTTAATTGGTGAGGTTGCTCGGATACGAACAATTTCGTGTTCGCAGGTCTTCGCGGGCGGGAATGTTTGGGTCCTGCTGGAAGACCTCGAGTGTGTAGTAGGAGGCAGTTTGCAGCACTTGATGGCCCTGTGAGTATGGATTTGGCCGCCACAACGTACAGCTCTTTGGGCCTGGTTTGATTCACCAGCCAGTCACTAGGAGCCTTTGAGGCGGATCAAGGCATGCGGTACTCTTGGCTAGTCCGCAGGAGTGGATGAGCTGCCCTTTGGCAGAATTCGACGGGGTTTCGCTCCCGCATTTGTTGTCGGACTAGTCCTTCGGAGTGGTGCAGCCAGTGCCCAGCACTCAAATCATCACCATCATCATCGTCATCATCATCATCATCAAGAACAGCAACATCATTGCTGACATTGATGCTTCACTGTCGTACAACCACAAGATTCGTTATATATATATATAT